CTCGCCTTCCAGCTCGCTCCAGACCCGCTCATCTGGTGTAGTGCTGCTACTTGCGTCGTCCACGACAGGCGACTCCTGGCGCGCTTCACCACGCGCCTGGTGTAGTTCGGCGTTTTCCTTCCGTAGACGCTCCATCTCTGCAGTCATACCCTGCAAGTTGGCCTGCATCGCACGGAACTATTGCATGAACTCGTTGAACTCGGCCTGCTCCATGTGCCTCAGGCTTCGTCGAACGGGCAGGGGGTGGCTCGCGATTTTTCTGACTTCAGTGAAGGCGTTAATGCTATCGTAGTCGGAGTGGAATAATCAGATCTATTCCACGGGCCGACCGCTTAACAGCCCACCAAGTCTATCGCTCCCCTTCTACAAACTACCCCGGAAACGCGAGGGTAACCTAGGACTTTAGGCTCTGATACCAAGTGTTATATGTTGTGAAAGGAAAGAGTGCGCAGAACTCAATAATGCGGAAGTGATTACAACGTCTGAATGAACAACGAGGCCTAGGCACAATATAGCAAGGCTAGCTAGGCCGAGGTCGCGGGGTCGCGAGATGGTTGGGTGCAGGTTCGGGGTTGGAAAACCCGAAACCTCGGAAGGCGAGGTCGGCGGGCCGAGCCTGGTTTTCTGAAAGTCGGGGTTGTACGCGTACAATGTGACCCAGTAAGGAATCCGGAAAATTCCTTGCATATACGGTACGGACACTCTGTTTTTCGTCTCTTGAGCCTATGGGATCCCCTGTTTTCCACACCTGCGCTGTGCCATGTCACCGCCGTATAGGCAACACAAAGGCCACCAGAACTGCCCTGACATGGTTCCGGAATCCACGCATTCTTCTGCGTCAGCTGCCGCAGAGATTGCTGGCACTTGGATTGTTTCTGTTGGCAGGTCGAGCTGGCCTTTCCAGATATCCGGGGGGTGTGGTGCTAATCCACGCAAAATCCTCACCGCACAAATTGCTTCGATCAACCACAGCATCCGAGTCAACTCAACCGTTTCCCAGCTCGGCTGACGTTGGCAACAAAACCAGGATTCGTCGTCGGTCGTCCTGACCACTCGAACGAACCGCACCATCGGATATTGCGACTCGATCTTGTCCACGTCCACATTTGCCATAACGCGGCTCGCAAGTAAATGCGCGAGGGGACATGCTCGTTTCGTTACCTCCAAAAGCTTGCTTCGTTCCCCTTCTCTCGCATCATTCGTTCGTCACTCACCGTTGCTTCCAGCTGAAATTATCACCAACACTCTCGTTGTTTCAAGCTTGTTCACGTGAAGGCCATCCCCCGAAGTCCGATCACACGAACGCATCTCTAGCCTGAGAAATATAGCGGATCGCAACCTTAGACTACATATTACACCGTCACCGCCACCAAGCTGACGTGACTTTGTCGGGAATCACGATCAATCGCCATGGCTCCTGTCGTCCAATGCCTGACACCTCAGGCCGTCATGCCAACATTCCAGTGTCAGCGCCCCACAACTCCCCTGCCCGGCGAACTCGAACTTCCTTCCACCTCCAGTAAGTTCCACAACTTATCCTTCGCTCTCCAGATTTTTCCTCACGTCACGAACGCCAAGTCTCATCCTGATCGCCTCAGCACTCATCCTTCGCGTCGCGTCCTTGCCACATCTGTTCTGTTCCCGCAGAGGAGGCGGCAAAACCCGAGGAAGTCCCCGAGCCCAACTTTTTGGAGTCGGTGGATCTGTACTTCGACCAGGCGGCCGCCATCTCGCACGTGTCGCCGGATATTCTGGCGCAGATCAAGGCGTGCAACACCATCATCCGCGTGCAGTTTCCGCTCAAGCTGCCCGACGGCCGCGTCGAGCTCGTCGAGGGGTACCGCGCGCAGCACTCGCACCACCGCCTGCCCGTCAAGGGCGGCATCCGCATGGCTCCCGCGGTAGACGCGGAGGAGACCATGGCGCTCGCGGCGCTCATGACGTACAAGTGCGCTGTGCTCGACGTGCCGTTCGGCGGCGCCAAGGGCGGCATCAAGATTGGTAGGTGGAGGCGCCGTTTCACCAGTAACTAGCGATTTCTTCCGCTCTTTCCTTGCAAGCGGAATCACCATCCATCATTCAGAAGCTGCAAAATCTGACTTTGTTTTTCGTCTCGCCGTTCTTGTGCGACTATGGGCGACGTGCAGACCCGAAGAAGTACACGATGCAGGAGAAGGAGGCCATCGTGCGGCGCTACACCACGGAGCTCGTCAGGAAGAACTTCATCGGCCCGTCCATTGTAAGCCGCCTCCACACGCGCCCACTCTAATACCGTCTTGCCCTTACATCAGATCAGATTCGTCTCTCAAGGGTCGTGCTATCAGTAATAAATGAACAAGCCGCCAATCACCCTTCCGCGATTCCTCCTTTTCTTCCACTTCTGTCTCAGGTCGCCTATTGTCCACCCTTATAACTTTTTCCCCTCCTCTCCCTCCCTGTTCACCCTGATGCGCTATCAGGACGTTCCTGCGCCCGACTACGGCACTGGCCCGCAGGAAATGGCATGGATCAAGGTGAGCCAATCAATAAGTGGCATTACTATATAAGCATATGGGCCTCTCAATATCTGGAATTGGATCTTGACATGGAATCTGGTGTGTGCAATGCAAAGATGGGATCAAATGTCGCTATGCACACACGGCGTCACAAGTAGTAACTGTTACGCAACAAGAACAATAGGGATGGAACAATAGTCTCAGCACACGTCCCCTTCTCTGCCTCGTTCCTTTCCCCCCATCCCTGCAGGACACATACCAGATGCTTCGCCCCAACGACCTCAACTCCTTCGCGTGTGTCACTGGCAAGCCGCTGGAAGAGGTGAGTCGCTACTCACCCAGGTGGAACCGCCATCACACTATTCTGCCATCACTCGCTGAACCGTGCCGCTTCAATGTGTCATTTCTCCATGTACAACGACTATGATGTGCATCACTCACTGGTTCCGTTCCTCCCTGCTCCATGTTACTGCAGGGGGGCATCCGAGGTCGCACGGCGGCGACGGGGCAGGGCGTGTTTGTGTGTCTGCGGGAGTTCTTCAAGAGCGGCAAGTGGATGGGGCGGCTGGGCATGAGCGAGGGCATCAGCGGCAAGACGTTTGTGGTGCAGGGCTTTGGCAACGTGGGGCGCCACACCATCGACGCCATAGTGGCCGCGGGCGGCCGCATCGTGGGGCTGGCGGAGTGGAACGGCGGGCTGCTGGCGGCGCCGGGCGAGGCGCTCGACATGGACGCCGTGAAGGCGCACGCCGCGCGCACGGGGGGGTCCATTCTGGGCTGCGCGGGCGCCACCACCGTGAGCGACTCGGCGAGCATCCTGGAGGCGGCGTGCGACGTGCTGATCCCCGCGGCGCTGGAGGGGCAGATCACGGCGCGCAACGCTCCGCGCATCCGCGCCAAGGTGGTGGCGGAGGCGGCCAACGGGCCGGTGACGGCGGCGGGGGAGGCGGTGCTGCAGGCGCGCGGCATCGTGGTGCTCCCGGACCTGCTGCTGAACGCGGGCGGCGTGACGGTGTCGTACTTCGAGTGGCTCAAGAACCTCAACCACATCCACTTCGGGCGCATGAGCCGCCGCATGGAGGAGCGCGGCAAGCAGCAGCTCGTGGACGCCCTGGAGCAGGAAATGGCAGGCGGCGCGCGCTTCAGCGACAGCACGCGGCAGTCCATCGTGCGCGGCAACACCGAGGAGGACTTCGTGTGGTCGGGGCTCGAGGAGCACATGATCGAGGGCTGGGAGAACGTTGACCGCATTGCTGAGGAGAGGGTATGTGCCTGTTGCACCGCATCACACCACATCCCACCATACCAGATCCCACTCTACCAGATCACAACACGCCGCATCACACCGTTTCACTTCACGTCACATGACATCACATCACACACCCTCCTATTCTACGCGTTGTGGCAACATAAACCTGCAACCTATGCACTTACCAGAGCACATGGTGTAACCACTCGTTAAACGCCTAATGCCGTACCTCTCTTTCTCAAATCCTAACAATTTCCATTCCCTCACTCCCCTCCCTCTCTTCCCCCCCCTGTGCGTCACCACCAGGGCTGCTCCTTCCGCACGGCAGCGTACCTCATAGCCATTGAGCGCATCGCCCGCAGCTACCAAGTTAGCGGCATTTTCCCATAAACACACCACGCGGACGAGTGGATGCCTGCTTCTGCCGCACCACGCGGACTGCCATGCCCGTGCTGCTGGTAGCATAGCAGCACCGATTGCAGTGCCCTGCCCTCAGCTCATCCCTCCACTTCACCCGCTGCTCTGCAACAAATCTGTTCAGCCTCCTCCATTTCCTCCGCCTGTCTTCAGCCTCCCCCGGAAACCCGTCTGTACCACAGCCTAATCTTCCTCCCTTTAACCCAGTCTAGCACTCACTGGACACAGCAACCACCCTCCTTGATCAGTGACTGCTTTCCTCCCTACCCAGCGATGCAGCGACCACAACTGCCCTCCCTCTGCCCTCATCGATGTGCCTTCCTCTCTCCCTAGCCCTAGTTGGCCACAGCACACTCCAGTTTTGTAGATATGGTAGCACTTGTGCATGTCATCAACCTTTCTTATCCCCCCCCCACGCACCACCTCGCGTGTGTAGATAGATTCCGTTTTCACCTCTTCTAGCCCTGCCTAGCCCCTCCGGCCACTCAGGGCCCACCCCCCCCCCCCCCCCCCCCCCCCCCCCACCCCCAATTTTGTAGGCTCATCCCAAGTTTCTTGCACATGTGGTAGGGAGGCAACTGCTGCCCTCCCACCCACCATCCAATTTTGCCCCTAGCCTGCTTGTATTCTTTGTACATAGCTACGGTTCTACTCCCTGTTACAACTGCCACATTTTTGCTCCCACTGTATCTGATTCTGCTCCATTGATGCTGGGCTGAAGCTCTTGCCTCCCAACTAAATCGCTAGGCCTTAACATCCTAACCAAACCACAACACATTCCCCACAAAACGAGCCCTGGTGGGCTCACCAACCAAAAAAGCACTCCTTTGTAAGGCGCCTCACAACGTGGCCACAACGCAAGCCCACGCATCGCTACTTGCCATGGAGCAGGCAAGGCAATCCAAACAACGAAGTCGAGGCCTCATCTCATCTGATAGAGGCAGCAGTAATGGAGCCAGCAGCTGCTGTGGTTGAGACAGCATCCCTTTGCCAAACAGGGCAGGCAGCAGCGAGCAAGAGGAGAGGAAGAGGGCAGGGGCCCTGCAGTGACAGGTGGGTGGGGTTGCAGGCAGGCAGTAAAGACGGAACCCTAGGAGCGCCGCCTTGCAGAAGAAGAGACAGACAGCAGTGAGGCTGTGTGTAGAAAGGATAACACTGCTGGTATTGAACAAGGTAAGCGGTGTGAGCAGAGGGTGGTGCGATTTGCGATGCACACAAGAGACGCGTGCAGTCATGCTTGCGGTGTGGGAAACACATGCCGCGTGGGGGACGGCGGAGTTGGGGATGGAGGGTTGGGGTAATGAGGAGCAGGTGATGAGGGAATAAGGTAATGGGGAGTGGGTGACGACGAGGGGTTAGGGTAGTGGGGTGTGGGAGAGGAGGGAGTGGGCGAGGGAGGAAGACTGGAGGCCCACCAGGCGCTCTCATCCTGTCTTTTCCACACCCCATTCCCTCCTCGCACCTCCACCCCTCCACCCTCACTCTCCCATCCACTATCCACGTCACTCTCCCATCCCCCACCCTCACTCCCCAACCAGCCCCGCACGTCGTCTTCCCGCCCGTCCCCACTTGCACCTCCTCTTCTAAACACATCTCCCACCGCCCATCCTGCCTTGTTCGCCTCTCCTCGCCCCTGCCTCATCATACCTCCATCGCTACAATACCCATCCCTGCCATCCCAGCACCCCGCATCACCCCTGACTGCCCCTGTTCCAGCCCCATTAGCAGCATGCCTCCTCCAGTTAACAGCTCGCATAGACGAGCGGTTGAGAGCGGTAAGGGTGCTGGAGTGAGGCGTCTCAGCAGGTACTGCAGAGCAACGAAGCACGTCCAGGCCACTCCAGCCTGCTTCTCCCCTCACACGTCCCCTCCGCTGCTCCCCTCCTCGCTGCTCACTGCTTACCCCACACATGCCTACACCGCTCCCACTCCCTCGCACCATGGAACCACCAGCTCCTCCTCTGCCCTCTGCTGCCCTCGCTCCTGCTCCTGCCGCCGCCCCTCCTTGGCCCAACGCCTGCCGCTCGCGCTGCACTGCCTTTGCTGCTGCTAGGGCTTCAGCCACGGACATGGGGCCACGCTCGGACGCGTGAGGAGGGGCGCACACGGGTGTGAGAGAGGTGGATGCAGATGGCGGGAGAGAGGGTGGGAGAGTTGCAGCTGAGCTTTCAGGACACGACCCAGCAGAAGGCAACGCTGGTGTGCCAAAAGCAGCAGCACCACCACCCACAGCAGCAGCAGAAGCAGCAGCAGCAGCAGGAGCGGTGGCGGTAGCTGGTGATGGTTGGGCGAGTGCTGCTGTGGGGGCAGTAATAGACAGAGCACCAGCAGACTTGGAACGAGCAAGAAGAGCCTGAGAGAACGCACTCGCACCAGCATCGCCATAGCCCGTTTCTCCCCTCCCTGCTGCCCCTAGCACACCTCTAACAGCCCCGCTGTTCCTCCCCATGCTCTCCCCTCTTCGTTTCGACCCCCTCCTCATCCTCCTTAACACCTGCTGTTGCCTCTCCCTCACTCGCCTCTCCACCTGCATCACTGCCACTGCTGCTGCCACCCCTGGCGCCACCACCAACTGTCCACCCCCCGATGAACGCGCCCTTGCAATGCCAGCACTGGCACCGGCGCCAACATTAGCGCCAGCGGCAGCGGCAGCGGCAGCGGCAGCGGCAGCGGCAGCACCAGCACCCACACCCCCTGCCGCGCGCCCTGCACCAACACCCGCGCCTGCGCCCGGCGCACCTACTAGGGCAGGAACCGGGGGAGGCGCAGACGGAGGAATAGGAGGGGTAGGGGCCGTGGCGTTGGGAAGAAGGGACACAAGGGGATTGGCGATTTCAAAGGCAGACACAGAGGAGGAGGAGCGTGGAGTGAGGGAGATCGCAGCAGGGAGGGATGCAGAGGACGGGAGAAGCCCACGGCTGGGAGCCGCCGCAGCCCTTGCAGCACTGCCTTCTCGCCCGTCTTGCCCCTCTGCTGCCATCCCAACATCAACCCACCACTGCCCCTTCTTCCCAGACGCTCTCCTTTCCAATCCACTGCCCCGCCCCACCCCACCTCCCCGCCTCCCTCTCCCTCCACCCTGCCCCCTCTCGCCCGCTTTCCCCCTGCCTGCATCCCGTTTCCCAGAACCCCTCCCCCTCCCTGCCCCACCATCCCCCAGATCACCCAGAGCAGCCAAATGGTCAAGTAGAACCGCTGCCCCTTCGCCGCACGAGCTTCCCCTCGCTTCCTTCTCCGCCTCCATATCCCGCTCCGCGTCTCCATCCCCCTCTGCCCACCCTTCTAGCCCCCTCTTCCCGCCCCCCATCTCCGCTTCTATCGGAATCCCGCCCGCGCCTGCCTGCATTTGCTCGTTGCAGCAGCCGTGAGATGCGGAAGCATCACGGAGGGAAGCGCTCGCGCCAGCAACAGAGGAAGGGGACGCAGGAACAGCAAGAGGAGGAGGTTGAGTGGCTGACAGGGAGTGCGAGGAGCCTGAGGGCGGGGCGAAGGCGCACACGGCATGGGGAGGCGGCATGCTGCCTGCTGTGCTGCTGCCGCCACTGGCAGTGACATCTGTTCCACCCTTCACACCTGCACCCGCATTGGCCCGTACAGCAGCAGCAGCGGCAGCAGCAGGGGCAGCGGCACCGGCGACAGCAGTAGTGGCAATGAGAGTAGCGGTGGCAGTGGCTGTGACGATAGCAGTGCAGCTGCCGTGTGTGCTGGATGGGGTGTGGGACTCATGAGGCAGCGACAGGGGGCCAACGCGGTCGTCCCTGCATGGGGCGATGTGGCCAGGGCCAACCAGCGCGCGCACGGGTGGGGCGTGCAGGTGGTGCGGGGAAGACAGGTGGAGGAGAGCGGGGAGAGGACCCAGGGGAAGGGGAGCTAACGCGGACACAGCGGGTCTGGTACACCCATTTTGGGTTTGCTGCACCGGCGGCGGCTGCTGCTCCATTTGACCATTGTTCGACCGAATAAGCTCCTCGCATGCAGTGAGCGACGGCGGGGACGGGGCGGCAGGCGGGGAGCAAGCCACGGGGAAGCAGAGCGACGCAAAGAACGCCCGCACATCATCCAGCGGTGGTTCCTCTACTACCGTGCTCATCACTGCTCTCTGCGCGCGTGCCGCCCCATGTCCTACCATCGGCGCGCGCACCGCCGCCTGCGCATGCGCCAACGAAGCTCCGTCGGAACCTCCCCCATCCTTGCGCTTTCTCCCCCTCGCACCGTCCAGCCCCCCTTCCGGCACATTCCCCTCCTCTCTCCGTCCCTCATCTGCCCCTGCCGTCCCATATCCATTGTTGCTACTCCCCATCACCACAGCATCAGGTGTTGCAGCTGTCACGCGCTGAACCGTGCCTGTATGCTCACCAATGGCCGCCGCTGTGGCTCCTGTGGGGTCGGCGCGAGCGCAGTCAAGCGCAGGTGCTACGGGCGCTGGAGCTAAAGTCGCAGGCGTTGAAGGTGCAGGTGTGAGGGGCAATGCAGGCGGCTTCACGGAGGGCGCATGCGGGTCTCGGTTCCTGGCGAGACGTTTCATGGCCCGCAAGCTACACGCGCTGCCTGCTCGCCCGGTCTTCTCAGCGCTCTCAGTACCCAGAAAATTGCCAGGACAGCTTAACACAGCAGCGGCGGCGGCGGTACCGGCAGTGGTGGCAGGATGCGGCAACGGGGCTGTATCCGCTACAGTGGCAGATACACCAGGAGAGGTACCGCTAGGGTCAGCATCCGCTACAGTGGCAGTTGCAGCAGCTGCAGAAGCAGCAGCAGCAGCAGCAGCAACATCAAGGACCGTATCAGCAACATCAGCAACAGCAGCAGTGGAAGTGACTGCATCAGCAACAGCGGCAGATACACCAGGAGAGGTATGGATGACGACGGCGGCAGCAGGGATCGCATCAGGCTCTAGCGAATCGGTCATAACAGCAGCAGGAGCAGCAACAGCAGCAGCAGCAGCAGCAGCAACGGGAGCAGCGCAATCTACTATGTGCTCTTTGCCGCTATCCTCTCTCTCCTCCGCTTCTCTCTCGCCTTGTATTCTTGTATCGCCATGCAATAGGCTGGTGATGCTTGCTGTAGCCACAGCAGCATGGGTGACAGCCTTTACTGGAATCATCATCCCACCTTCACTACTCTCCCGCGATTGGTCATCCTCCTTCACATCCCGTACATCGGCTTCACGCTCACCCCCACCCTCGCAAAACTCGCCCTTTCTTGTGGGCATCGCCATTGTTTCTTCTGCTCCTTCTAGCATCCCCGTCACCCCCACGCGTCCCCTACTCTCACACGCGCCAATCTGACTCTGCTCTCCTCCCGTCGCATCTTCCACCTTGCCACCTCCGCTTCCCGCCTCCACCTCCCCCTCGCCATCACTCCACCCTCCCAATTCAATTAATTCCAAGTCCCCCAACTCATCCCTCTGCTCGATTTCCTTTTCCTCACTCGCGAATGTCGCCCGTGGCGTCGTCTCGTTACCCTGCGATCTTTCGTCGCTACCATTCGCTTCCAACCCCTCCACATCTATCTCCACTTCCTCCTCCTTCTCCTCCCCAGCCTTCTCCTTCCCCTCGCCCCTCGACTCGTCGTCACTATCATTCCTGTGTCGGTCAATTTTCCTACTGTCGCTATCCCCCTCACCACTCTCACTCTCCTCGCCGTCACCCGCTCTTTCCGTTCCAGACTTGGAGCATGAAACGGCTTCGCTATCCGAGTCACTACCGCGACTACTCTCACTTGTGGCCCCGTCGTCGCTACTGCTGCTTTCACTTCCGCTTGTGGGGCTGCTAGAACCGCTCCGTCCTCCGACCTGCTCACTGTCGTGCTCATCGCCATGGCCTTTCCCCAACAAATCGCCATCAACATACGCCTGTCGCTTCGTCTCATCTGATTCAGTTCTCCCGGCATCTAATCTCCCCTCACCCTCGGCCCTATGACCTTCCGCGTCTCTTCGCTGGTCTTCTTGAACTCGGGTTTGAAGCACCGCTACTTCCCGCTCTAATCGTTTTACCCGCGCGCAATAATCCTCCGCCCTCTCTCGCTCTCGCGCTGCTTCATCGAGAGCGTCAGCTGCCCGGCGAGCTTCTTTAACTGCCCGTAGACACTCCTCATCTGCCCGCCCTTCTGCCTGCTCCACCCGCTGCCGTAACTCGTCATTCTCCTCACGCTGCTGTCGTATGTCTGCGAATGCAGGAAAACACACAGGAATGTCAAAGCAAGAGCAGGAAGTCAGCGACATCCTCCAGGTTAGAAACTGCAACTTCTCGGAAACAGCGGACGGGAGAATAAGCACACGGAGGCCAGGAAAGTATTTCGCATAAAAACGGTTTAGAATGAGCAAATCGACAAGCCTATTGAGAAGGAGGAGAGGGAGAAGGAGAAGGGAACCGAGAGCCAGATGATGCGAACACGCACCCTGTTGAAGAGTGGCGACGGTCTGTGTCAGCTCCTCGATCCGATCTCGTAGTAATCCAACCGCCTCGCGAAGCTTCCTCCTACCTTCTTCCGCTTTGTCTAATCTCTGCTGGAGCTGCAAGGAGCAAAGGAAAATTAAGAAACAAAAAAACCAGGACACGAGCGCAAGGAGGACAGAAGAAAGGAGGGGGAGAAGGGGGGAAAGAGGCAGTAGAGATAAGCGGGGTGGAGAACAGATCGGGAAGTCAAGTCATTGGTTTATCAAATTACAGACGAAATATGAGGCAGCCATCAAAGAGCGCATGGCGTAGCACACACATCACAAGCCATGACCCAAATTCCCAAGAAGGACAACATGACAGAAGACATCAGGAAACGAAATCCAAAGATTTCCGCGTTTTACCACAGAGCAGTTGCCGCAAGCCGACAGGCCGTTTCCCAGAAGCAAGGTGTCGTCTTCTGTACCGTCCGATCTCGCCTTGGCCTTCTTGCGAGGCTTGATGGGACCACCGTCGCCCATTGCGCACGGTCCGAGCGATGATTCCGGCGGGCATCGCACCTTCCTTTTCATCTGCTCAACCACACGCACAGTTGCGCGAGGCATGAGCCGCGCGCAGATCCACGTCAACGGCAATCACGGAAATTAGTCCTTACTTCTTCGCCCAAGGCTCTTCATTGGCTCTTCTTGCTCGTGTCGCATCTGAATGTTAGAAAGTGGTCAAATCGCCGGATTAATCCCAATGAACCAAAGGAGATACGGACGTCGGCATCAGAGCCTAACGGGAAGTCAAGCAAAAAGGCGAGGTTCTAAGATCTACAATATGACGGAAATCTAGAATGAGATCGAAGAACAATATAACTAGTGAAGTGCTTCAAAACCTTGGATCAGAAATGAGAACTTTTAGGTCTGGGAGGAGGTTCAATGGAGAGAGGGGTTAGTGGCGCGCGGAAAATGGGAGTTGGAGCAAGCTGCGCCAGTTGCTGCTCTAGCAGCAGTGCGGGGCAAATGCAACGGCGTTGGGGAGCGGGAAATTCTCCGCTAGAACAACCTGCTAACGAGGGGCACAATGGATTCGGCAACTTCTAGACTTGTGAAACACGTCTTCAGACAAAATTAGTAGTGCACTTCTAAAAAACAAACTTCAAGAATGATAATTACCGCACAATCCAGGAACCATTATGGTATAGACGCCACCACAGTCTGTTAACTGGTAAAATCGTGGATAAATTTAGCATCCAAACGACATGGACAGATCTTACTTGGTGTTGCACAGTGCGAGCCATTCATTGAATCACACAACATGTGCTGCTTTCGCTCGACCCTCCACTTGCGAAAGCCCCTACATTGGTTGGTTATGGTAATTGGGACTTGATTTCCTCCCAGACCTTCCACATTGGTTCCAAGCACCGCTCCCAAAACCCTTCACCAGAAGGCCATACGGTAACGACTTCCGAGCTCGCCTCCACCCCTTCCGCTCTTAAAAAAATGTCAACCCCTGCGCCCATGCGGCGCTGCACGCACTCTTTTCCAAATCTGTTCACACGTTACAAGCTCGCCTCCTCGCCCCCTGTGCGCATCAAGCATGCCCCCCTGCGCCCATGCGGCGCTGCACATACTCCACGGCACGCGCCTTCACATGCGCCACGTGCTCCTGCGTGCCATGCGCCGTCTCAAAGTCCAGATACTTCTTCAGCAGTGACTGGTGTCACAGGTGGGGAGTGCGGGAGCAGGCAGAGGACAAGAGGAGAGTGGGAGGAGGGAGGGACGAGCATGGAAGGATAGAGAGCCATGAATGAGTACATCTAGCAGATGCGTTTGGCACATGCACTTGGCTCAAACTGTATTTCGAATTCATCCAAAGCACATCTCCATGCACAGCGCACCTTCATTTTCTTGGGTGGGAGATCCAGTGATACGACTCGCTCAAACAGCCGCCTCACTGCCGCCATATCCCCCATCCGCACCTCCTGGTGGTACATGAACAATGGGCGAGGAGCGGAGGGGAGAGAGGCAGAACAGGAGAGAGGGATGGAGGTGAGGGAGATGCTTAGAGCGGTTAGCGGCAGCGATTCAGGGCAAGGAACGGAGGGGATAGCGGTGACAGGAGGGGGGAAGAGGACGGAAAACGACGAAAGGGGGATGATCGAGCAAAATGGGGTAAGGAATGTGGGCGGACGGGGTGGGGTGTGAAATGGCGCAAGGGTTGGGAGAAAGGCAGGGAGCCACGGCACGGCAAGAAGAAGGTAGGCGATACGGGGTGAACTACAAAGCAGCGGCAGATGAGTGCAGGAGGAGAGGAGATGCGCTTGCCTGGTCGATGTAAGTGATCCAGAGGTCAGTGCGCTTGGGGAAGTTCCTGAGAATGCTCTCAAACAGCGTCCTGCCCCTCTCCTGTGAGCCAATGCGATACTCCATCAGCGCTGCCTGGGATATCACCTGCGCCCGCGCAGCAGAGTGACATGCAGGTGAGGGGGATGGGGCAGATGCAGGGCGGGGAGTAGTGAGGGAGAGGACGAGGGAGATGACATACAATCAGTTGCAACCCCACTATCTCAAAAGGTGAACAAAGAACAGAACGGAAAACTCCACCGGTATTGAAAGCAAGCAACCCCGCTACATGATCCCTGCTCCCAGGCCCCTAACATGTTGGGCAATCCTCCCAATCCCACACCTTGATGTGCTTTCTCTGCGGCAGCACAGTGAGCGCCCGCTCCAGCAGTTTCCTCGCGCCTTCCTCCAGCCCGCGGCTGAGCTGGTTCTGGATGTAGCGCAGCCACACCTGCTCGCGGTCCACGAGGGGGCAGAGACGGACAGACAGAGGGCTCTTCTAGGGTTCTTTGACAGAGCAGCAAGCAGGGGAGCATTGGACAACCAGAAAGCTATGCAGACAAGACAACCAGAGGAGCTTGGACGCAGCTCAGCACGCATGGCGAGGGTTCGGGCACCGCGCGCGCACTGACTCAGAAGCTATCGAGAAGAGCTTTCCAACTGAACTTGGTGCAGGTGCACACTGACTGACCTTAGCGGAGGTGCTGAACTTCTTGGCCATGGAGTGCAGCAACGTGTCCGCCATGTCGTGCTGCTGGCTGCGCTCAAACACGCCCAGCAGCGCCACGTGCAGCTTCTTCGGGTCCGTGTACGCCAGGCCCCGCTGAAACAGTGCTAGCACCGCCTCCTGCCGGTGGGAGGGAAGGTTGGAGCAGGGGATCGGGGGCAGAAAGGGAAAGAATGGGCTTATTCAAACCTCAGTGCCACGTGCAGCTTCTTCGGGTCTGTGTACGCCAGGCCGCGTTGGAACAACGCCAGCACCGCCTCCTGGGAGTTGATCAGGCAGGGGATGGAGGGCGGAAAGGGGAGGAGTTGGCGTGATTGGAACTTGGCGACACGTGCAGCTTCTTCGGGTCCGTGTATGCCAGGCCCCACTGGAACAGCGCCAGCACCGCCTCCTGTCGGTGGGAGGAGCCGGTGTGGGCAGAGGGGGGAACGGGGAGGGGAAAGGAGGGGTAGGTGGAGGGCAGAAGAGGGGGGTGTTGGCTTGAAAAAACCCAAGGTTCAGTGACACATGTTGGCCAACCCCGGTCGACCACGTTGCCTAAGGCCCGTTGCGTAACCCGCTCTGACAAGACATAATGCGTAAAACCCGAAACCACAGACCCGTTGCCCCAGCCCCATTGGGCGCGGTGTGGTGCGGTGCAGTGCAGTGCGGCGCACCTTGGGTGGGTTGCCGTGCATGTTTTCGAGGTTGAGGTACGCCACCCAGATGTTGAGCTTCTCCCCCTCCTCCCTGTAGCTGATGCTCTTCAGTGCTCTGCTCACACACGTGCATGGGTGACATGTGGAAGGGGGTTGGGAGAATGAAGGGAGGGACAGAAGCTGCAGGACACCGCCTGTACTGCCATGGGTCTGAAGTGTCTCAAATCGAAATGTACTGCATTCTATCACTCTGGACCTCATTCAACATATCCGACCCACCTAACCAGCCCCATCAGCACCCCCCCTCCACAACAGCCCTAACCTTATTCTACTTCACAAAAAAAGAACCCACACACCAAGAACCTGATCCACATCACAGGACCAAGCTATTCAGAAGACTCCTCTCAACCACATCCCACCGCAGTGCACCCTACCCCACATTGACCCCTCACCTCTCAGCCACCGCCCTGGCCTTGTCGATCTCAGAGAGCGAGAGCAGGAAGGCCATGAACTTGATCCAGAGGAAGGAGCTGTTGGGCGACGCCAGCAGCAGCTGCTCAAACTCCGCCTCTGTCTCCGGCGCCTGCTGCCCCTTCACCCTCCTCTGCTCCGCCTCCTGTATCGCCCGCTCCCTGCCAAGGACAAGGAGAGGAAGATGTGGAGGGGTGGGAGGAGAATAGGAATGTGAGGGGGGGTCACGTCACTTCCTGGGTTGACTCAAGAATGGTTATTGGGGATTCAGTGGCAACATGACTCGAGACTTGACTGGGGCACCATGATTGGCGCATGCGTGATGGTACATCCATGATCATGAAAGCCATAGAGTGTTGGCTACTAAAAACGGCGTATGGAAGCAGGAGTGCTTGCCTGGCCTCTTTCTCCCGCTTCTTGGCCCTCTTCTTCCTCTGCTTCTTCATCTCCTCACTCTCCTCCTCCACTCCCTCCTCCTCGTCTGACTCCTCTGCTGGTAACCGCTTTCTTCCTGCCAGACCAGCACCACGCACTGCCACAGGCAGCGGTGCAACCTCCTCCTCATCCTCATCCTCATCCTCCTCCTCAGCATCACCACCATCACCATTGCCCCCCTCCTTCTCTTCATCACTAACATCCTCCTCATCCTCCTCATCCACCTCCATCTCCTCTTCCTCCTCTTCAACCTCTTCATACTCTTCATCCCCTGCAGAATCATTCTCCTCGTCGTCACTCATTGCATCAAGCACCTTCCCCCTCGCCTTCTCCGCTTCCCCGCCCTCCAAACCCCCTCTTTCCCCCTTCTTACCCTTTTCAACCTTCTCACCCTTCTCCCCCCTCTCACCCTTCCCACCCTTCGTTCTCTCCACAGCCTCCCCTACCCTCTCCCCCCCTCCATGCACCATCACCTTGGCTCCCTTGATCAGCACACACATTCCTCTCTCCTCCACCACTCGCCGCTCCTCCTCACTCAACTCCTCCTTCCCCTTCCCCTGCTTCTGCCCCTGCCCACCGCCCTGCCCCTTCCCTTGCACGGCAGCAGCAGCTGCAGCGCTCAGCAGCACTTTGTCTACCCGGGCTTTAATGATGTCCCCTGCATGCAGAGAGGAGGGGAACTGGAGAGGGGGGAGGAGGAGGGGGAGAGGGCAACGCATAGGGGAGATGGCGCGGTGAAGGGGTAAGGCCGACAGGAGCGTGTGTGAGAGGCAGAGCGGCAATAATGTTGGAGATCAAAATAATGGTTGCACGGGATCAGAATGATGGTGCCCACACACAAGGGAGAAGGGGGGAAGAGGGGGGGAAAGGGTGGAAAAAGGAGGGAAGGGGAGGGAGAGGGGGAAGAAGGGGGGAAGGAGGGGGGAAAGGGGGGGGGGGAAAGGGGGGGGGAAGGGGGGGGGGAAGGGAGGGGTGGAAGTGGGGGGACGAGGGGGAGACGAGGAGGGGAAGGGTGGGGGGAAGAGGGGGCAGAGAGGATGCAGAGAACACAGGTGGTGAAGAGAACGGCAGGGTACCTGGGAGGCACGCAGAATGGCGGAAACCCCTCCGCCAAGATCCACGAGAGCCAGCCCAGCAGAGGAGGCAGTGGCAGGGTGCACCTCCCCCTGTACCACCGCCGCCACCAGCAGGCGCAGCTGCGCGTAGCGGCGCTGCCACACACTAGTGGCGGTGCACGCCGTAGGGGCAGCAGCAGTGGCTGTGGCAGTGGCAGTGGCAGCGGAAGTGGCAGCAGCTGTAGGGTCAGTGGGTGTAGAAGAGGCTGCAGGAGCAGCAGCAGGAGGAGCGGCAGCAGCAGGAGCGGCAGCAGCAGCAGCAGCGGTGGGGCCTGAGGAAGGATGGGTGAAAGACACCAGCTCATCCCGAGCCAGTACGATCCTACCACCTGTCTCTGGTGAAGGGAGGGCCACAAGAGCTGCTGCAGCACTGGAGATGTGGACGCGAGAAGAATGAGGCCGGCCGGGAGAGGGGTGGGAGATGGGAACGAGAGGGAAGGGAGAGGGGTGGGAGATGGGAACGAGAGGGAAGGGAGAGGGGTGGGAGATGGGAACGAGAGGGAAGGGAGAGGGGGAGGGAGATGGGAACGAGAGGGAAGGGAGAGGGGGTGGGAGATGGGAACGAGAGGGAAGGGAGAGGGGGTGGGAGATGGGAACGAGAGGGAAGGGAGAGGGGGTGGGAGATGGGTGAGGAGATAGCAGCGTAGAAAGGATGAATGGCATGAGTCTATGTGTTTAATCGGATCATTTCACAAGCGGAGGGCAGCCGAATGAATGTGCATAGGGGCAGTGAAGGTGTGAAAGCACAGCAGCCATGTAAACCGATGCATTCGGTTCTGACTCCTGAGCAGCATGACTAAAAACATGATGACATGACATGGCAAACCAAATGCAAGAGCAAGAGCAAGTGCAAGTGCATGGGTATGGCAGCAGCACGCACATCTGTCCAGGGCGGTACAACCGAGGGACGTCCACGTGGGGCAGGTTGAAGTCGCCCCCTGCCAGAGTCGCCAGCAGGGGCGCTGACGTGGCTGCTTGCAATTGGCCCGTGGTTGCCGGCACAGTGTAGCAGGCGGGCAGTGAAACGACCTGTGGGAGGCGACGGAGAGGAGGGGAGGGGAGCGGACGAGAGGGGAGGAGGATGAAGATGCTCCGTGTAACATGCACATAATACAGATAGGCATGCACCTAACGCCCCTCACCTGGTGGAACAGAAGAAAGGAGGTTTGGGTGATGGTACAGAACAGGCAGCATCAGACATCTTCTGAGGCGCCTCAAAGGATGGAGCGAGCAACATAGTGTCGCACTGCATAGTGTGGCGAAAGGAGAGTGAGCAAGAGGCAAGTGTCAGAGTCGTACCGCATAGTGTGGAGTGCTGAGCAGCACTCGCACCAGCAGCCTCGTCCCCTTCGCCAGCACCACTTGGCCCGCGCTCCCACTCTTGGCCTGCGGAGCAGCAATGTCCCCCACTGCTAGCACCACATGCCCTGCTGCTCCTCCCACGTCCACCACTCGCCCTGAGACTCGCTCCCCTAGAGTGAGCGGTTTGGATGCTGTGTGCACGAGGAGCGCACGTGCATACGTGATGTGGTGTGGAAGGGAGGGAGTCCGGGAGGGCGGTATGGAGGGAGGTAGAGACGGCAAGAGAGGCAGGGTGAGGTGAGTGAACAGCAACACACAGCATAGACAGGGAGATAGGCCGTGCATACTTTTACTCCTTGACACGACTCGCAAGAGTTTTGAGGCGCCTCAAAAGCGAGTGAACAGCAACACAGGACAGGGAGATAGGCTGTGCATACTTTTACTCCTTGACATGACTCGCAAGTGACACCGTTTCCCCATCATGCCTCTCTGCGCGATCTGCAGTACTGCCTTCAGGAGGCTGCATAGCGCCCCTAACCTCTGCCTTATGGCCACTCAGCACAAAGCAAGACCTTCTGATGGTGCAGTGCAGGATAATGAAAGAGGCGGGTGAGCGGGACACAGGCGCCCACGCAGGTTAATGAGGTTGCGCCAAGTACCGACGGGCCGGTTGCAGCAGCTTGCAGCGCAGAGCGTGCCGTGCAGCACACAAGAGAGCAAGAGCGAGCAGATGTTCTTGTGTGCTGCACGGCACGCTGTCACAGGGAGCAACCAAGGTCTCACCAAGGTTAGCAGGGACAACCGCCGTCACTCCCTTGAGCACATCGGGACTGAATAGAGACACAGTCCACGAGTCCCCTCCATGCCTCCCTCCCCCTCTTTCCCCTCCCCCTCCTCCTCCTCCTCCTCCCGCTCCCATGGCGCCCTCGTGTTTGACCAGCACAGTGCCTTCTACAGCCATGCCCGGAACCACCGCCCCCATCCACGGCTGCTCCTGCTGCTCTGCCAGCCGTGCTGCCGTGCGCTCGTGCTGCAGCAGCGACGATGCAAACGAGCCGTCGTGTGACGCGCAGAGGAAAGGGTCTAGAGCCACCTGCAGGGGCTGTGACGCCTGGAGGGCGTGGGGAGGTTAGGGTGAGGAAGGGGGTTGCGAGTTGCTGTGTGTGAGGCAGTGTCTTCCACGGCCATGCCCGGCACCACTGCTGCCCCCATCCACGCGCAGAGGAAAGGGTCTAGAGCCACCTGCAGGGGCTGTGACGCCTGGAGGGCGTGGGGAAGTGGGGGTGAGAGTGGGTGGGGTTGGGAGTTGTTGGGGGGGAGATTCATGCGTGTGTGGGGCAGTGGTGCGCATGCTCGCTTTCACATCCCCCGAGGACACTCTGTGTCCTCCTAAAAAAACGCAGCGCGTATATGCTTTACAAAACAAGTTCCGGTTGTCTTGACTTGATCGCACCACAAGCAACCGATGATCACACCGTGAGTGTGTTGGCCAAGATACTCACGAACGAGCACCAAGCAGCCCACCTTGAGTATCTTGACCCGGACAGTCTGGCCCAGGGAGAAGAAGACAGCAGGCAATGGTGACGCAGGGAGGCCTGGCACCTGCAGGTAGACGGGAGGACGAGAGAGAGAGAGAGAGAGTGAGCCGGGGCGAGACAGGAGCACAAGGGGAAGGGAAGAGGGGAGGATGGGTGAGCCAGATGACGGTTGAGAAGGTGAGGTAAAAAAGAGAGATGATGAAAGAATGGGAAGGGATCGGGAGGGACGAGAGAGGGCAGGGCGCTACGGCACAGCTTGTAGAACCACGGTGAAAGGGAGGAAAGGGAGCACTTGTGCAAGTGCCAGATCGAGCAGGAAAGGAAATGAATGCGGTGGGGTGTGGTGCGCACCAGAGTGGCGAGGGCAGCAGGGGTGGGGAAGAAGGGCAGGGAGACGGCCGTGGTGCCATCTGCTAGCTGCACACTGCACGCCCCATCTGCCCTCACTCCTGTCACAAACGCCTGCTCGCCACCACAGCCGGGGGAAGGCAGCGCAGGGGAGGGGAGGGGAGGGGAGGGGAGGGCAAAGTGAGCAACGGACAAAGGGGGGATCATGGTGAGGAGCAGGGAAGATGAATGTGATGCAGTTCACAGGTCTTGATGTGCAAAACATTCTGACCCGGTCTCACTGTCAGTGTGCCACATACCTACCCACTGTGAGGGAGGAAGGGAGGGGTGAACAAACATGCCGCCCACTCCCTCGCTTTCCCCCGCCCCAGCGCCCCCAGGAGACCCTCCTCCCTCTCTCCCTCCCACGCGCTCCCCCTCCCTCCCTCTCCCTCCCTCTCCCTCCCGCTCCCTGCCCCTCCCAGCAACCCAATTGCCTCTCCCTCCCTCCTTCACAGTACCATGTGGAAGGAGCCCTGTTGCGGCCGCTTCGCTTTGCCCCTTGCCGCCTTGCCCTCACCACCACCACCACCACCAGCGGCAGCACCAGCACCAGCAGCAGCAGTGGCAGCGGCGGCTTGCAGGAGCGCGGGTTTGGCAGTGACGATAGGCGTGCGGCCGTGCCACAGGGAAAGCACGAGCAGTGGCCCTAGCCTTGAACCCGGCCGCAGTGATGCTAGCAACTCCACTGCACATGCTGGTGAGGGGGAGGGGCACGGGGATGGGGGGAGGGGAGGCGGGGCGGAGGGGGGGAGAGGGAGGCATGAATCGGGGAGTAAGGATGGGATGGGATGGGAAGCAGTATGGGGGCCTCACAGCCATGACGGCCTCCTGCACGCCGTTGGCACCATAATGGTACTTTTGAGAATTCTCAAAGGATGGGATGGGAAGCAGTACGGGGGCCTCACAGCCATGACGGCCTCCTGCCACCGATGGTTGGCACAAACAAGGGAGGCGAGCTCCCCACATGACAATGATTATTCCCAGTGACACATCACACCGCACAGCACCACACAGCACCGCGCACCAGTCAAGCTTACCTGGTTGGTCTGCCAGGTGTTCCACAGCCATGATGGCCTCCTGCACGCCGTTGGCAGCTGGCAGTGCGAGCACGAACGAGTGGGCGTCCCAGTGACAAAACTCACCGCACAACACCACACGACACAGCATCCCAAGCCCACCTCCCACCTGGTTGGTCCGCGAGGTGTTCCACAGCCATGACGGCCTCCTGCACGCCGTTGGCAGCAGGCAGTGCGAGCACGAGCGAGTGGGCGTCCCGGCGCACCACAGGAGCTTCCGAAATGACCGTCCCCACCGCGTGCAGCGCGTTGGGGAGTGCACGGGGGGGAGGCGTGGCGTGGGGGGAAGAGGATGGCGGGAACAGTGTCCTGCGAGCGAGGAAAGACGGGGGGGAGGGGGAGAGTGGGGTAGGTATGTATGTACCACCCAGTCATGGAGAAAGGGAGATGGACGGGCGAGAAAGGGTCAAGGACGGCCCGACCATGGTCAAGAGAGAGAGAGAGAGAGAGAGAGAGAGAGAGAGAGAGAGAGAGAGAGAGAGAGAGAGAGAGAGAGAGAGAGAGAGGATTAGCCTCTCCCTTTCTACCCTCTGCCCTCTGCTTTCTGCCCTCTGCCATGACTACTTAAGGCCACGGCGGCCTCTCCATCTCTCATTCTTTCAGTTAGTGCTGAAAATTTTGGCTTTTGTTCGTTCGAGAGAGCGAGAGAGAGAGAGGATTAGCCTCTCCCCTTCTACCCTCTGCCCTCTGCTTTCTGCCCTCTGCCATGACTACTTAAGGCCACGGCGGCCTCTCCATCTCTCATTCTTTCAGTTAGTGCTGAAAATTTTGGCGCTTCGCGCCGGCGGCCTTCGGCCGCGCGTTAGGGATGGCAAGGGGAAACAACAAGCAGTAGTAGCTTAGGCAACCGATACAAACAAAGCAAGCATAGACACTTAGCAAGTAGAGGATGGAACGGGTCTACACGCGCAAGGGGGGAGCGCCTACATGAGGTCCGCCTCTACCGCAGCGAGCATTCCGCTCGTGTTCAACCACAACTGGCGGACCACAGACACGGTGGCGCCTACAACGTCAACAGGAGTACCAGGGCCTGCTACAAGCGTCCTCAGAGCCAGGGCCGAGTCAGCCAGCTGGCTGGCCGAGGTTGCTCCCGGCGAGGGCGCTACCTGCAGTGGCGTTACGAGCGCGAATAGCGCTGACGCCGCCGCATGACAATCTGCTCGCGGTTTCTGAGAGAACCTGCTCGGAGGGCTCACCGGCATGGAGTCAAATGACTCCTGGAGAATCCGCTCAAGGCTCTGCAGGGACGCCGCCAGCGACCATAGGCGGGCCAGGGTCGCCGTGGGAACTTCCTTCATCGGCGGAAGCAACGCAGACGCGCGGGCACGGTGAGACGACACGGCGAGATCACGCGGAGCAGGAAGAGGACGCGGCGGAGCAAACGGAGCCCACGGCGGCCCGCCACCAGCGCCTACGAAGCCCATCCCCGCAGGCAGCGGCCGCGCTGAGCGCGCCGGGGATCCAAAAGGATCGTGGGGCAGGAGCGCGGAGAGAGGGACGACGGGAGCAGCGCGAGGAGCTGATGGTGACGCCGACCCCGCACGCGAGCGACGAAGCTCCTTCTCCACGTCATCAAGCCTATCCAGAAGACGACGCTCCATTGCGGACGGCGCTGGACCCGCTTTTCCGCCGCGACTGTCACCTCCCCGTCGCCCACGACGCGCACGCCCACTTGCGCTCGAGCGCACAGGCGACTGCGGGCGAAATGGGCCCTGCTGACGCTGGCGGCCAGGAAAACGGTCCCCGCAACGAGGGGAGTAGAGCCGTTGGCGCTTTGCAGGAGCGGGCGAACGCGGAGCTGGGGGCCGACGCCCAGACGTCTGGCGGGCAGGCGACCGCTGGCGAGATGAACGATGAGGGGGCGAACGATGACGATGCGAACGGCGGTCACGGGATCGGCTTCGCGACGCCACGCGACGAGGCGAACGAGGAGACAGCGGCGAACGGGCCGCACAGTGACGATCATCGCGGCGGCTCTCCCGCTTATCGTCGCGAGCTGCCGATGAGCGACGGCGAGGCGAACGCTCCTGGTGCGCCACAGCCTCTGCCCCGGAGCGCAAGACGGACCCCGCGCGCAGGGGCTCCGGCGGTGACAAGGACCTGCCCGCGCGCCGAGCCAGCTCGCGCTTCTGGTCCTCGAAGCGGCGGCGGATCTGATCAGCGGACGCCGGTGGAGCAACAGGTACGCTCGCGGCAGGGCGTGCAGGAGGAAGCGGACGAGGAGCGGGATCGCTCTCCGCGGTGCAGTCGCGGCCCAGAGCGCCGAGGAAATCCATCGGCGAGCGCTCAGGGCGCTCCACTGCCACAAGAGGAGCCGACGACGCCGATCTCCCAGGCGCAACAGGCGGCACCTGTGGCAGCCACTCCGAGGAGCGGACGGGGAAGCACGCGGGGGAGAGGCGGGGGTCGAGGAGCGCGCGGAGGGCAGCGGAGTGCAGGCCAAGCGGCGAGGGGGAATCCGCGCCAACTACCGAGCCCAATCTGGTTGGGGGAGCCGGCGGAACGAGTCACGCGCCAGTCGTTTGCTAGACGCGGGGGGAGAGGGGGAACGACAGCGCAAGCAGTGAGAATCGGTGATACAAACGCAGAAGGGAGCGGCGACGAATATGTACCGTCAGATCTGAGGCAACCCGACAACCCCGACTCACCTCTCGCGGAAGCGGGGGAGGACCAGGCGCAGCAGCAGGAGAGAGGTTCTAGACGCCGACAGAACCGCAGACCCCAACCCCCTCCGGACCAAGCCCTGTCAGCGTCCCAGCTGGCATCGAGGGAGGATCTCTTTGAGATCGCGATGAGCTGGGACTCTTCAACCCTAACGTCAACCACCCACCTGCCTATCGTCCGCCGCCTGCCGCCGCAGATACTAAGCGACTACTCCAACTGTATGCTGGCCGCCCTCTTACGGATCTCCAAACTGCCCAACTGCGCGGGAGCGTGGCGGGTCCTCATGTTCCTGCCACGTCTCACCTTACGACTTAGCAGGAGGTCCAGCTCTAAGTGGAAGGTGCTGCGAGAGCAGATGCACCTATTCAGATGTGGCCACTGGAACCAGCTCTACAGTGACTACGTGGGGTCCCTGCACCAAGCTGAGCCACCTCAGCACCAAAACGACCCCCTGGGAATCTGCTCACGTGTGGAGGGGTTGGTGAAACGGGGTAACCTGCGAAAAGCGTTGGCAGCCCTCTCACCCTCGCCAGCGGCCCCTGCGACGATCACAACATTGCAGCAGTTGGAATTGAAACATCCCCAACCCCAAGTTGAGCTGCCCGACTGGGTCCACACCTACACAACACCCACGCAATTTTCGTGCACCGCGGAAAGTTTCTCAGACGTCCTTGGGGATTGCCCCAGCGGAGTTGGGGCTGGTCCATCCGGGTCAACATTTGAACACTACCGCGACCCAGCCCTAAGCAACATCGAAGTGCTGGGGCACCTACACTCCGCCGTAACACATCTTCTCTCCACGAATCTTTCCACCGAGGTTGCAGCACTACTCTCGCCATCCCGCCTCATCGCCTTCGCGAAACCAGGGGGGGGGGGTACGCCCTATCGCAATAGGGGAATCCCTACTCCGGTTGGCAGCAAAGGTGGCACTCTCGGAACTGCAAGGAGAAACAAGGCGATTTTTCTTACCCCAACAATTCGGTGTGGCAGTCCCAGGCGGAGCTGAGTTCGTTATACATGCAGTCAGAGACCTCACCACTTCACAACCTTCCAGCCTAGTCCTCCAACTCGACATTGAAAACGCTTTCAACTCCGTAGAGAGGAAAGCGTTCTTCAACGCACTCGCCAACACCCCGCTAGCACCGCTCATACCTTTCACCCGCTCCTTCTACGCAACGCCTTCTCAGCTGCTGACCGATCCCCGCTTGAGCACGACGGCACTTACCAGCGGAAGGGGGGTGAGGCAGGGGGACCCCCTCGGACCCCTGCTGTTCGCGGCATCAATCCAACAGCACCTCAGACGCACAGCAGCAGAGCACCCAGAAGTCACGATCCTAGCATACGCAGATGACATCACCATGATCGGACCGGCGACAGCAACGCTCGGCGCGCTTAAGTTGCTGAAGTCGCTGCTCGCACAGGATGGCCTCACCTGCAACCTCAGAAAATCGTCGGCGTGGTCCACGACGCCGCTTGAGGGTGACGAGCTCCCCGAGGGCCTCCCACTCACCCACGAGGGGGTACGGGTGTTGGGAAGTCCCGTGGGGTCACAGCGCTTCTGCGCTGACCTGGTCCGCAGTACTCTGACAGACGCGGCGGCACCCCTGGGCTCCCTAGCATCCATCCATCCACAGCATGCCCTCCTGCTCCTGTCCCGCTGCATCAGCCGCAGAATCGGCTACTTGCTGCGCACCACCCCAGCGGATGTCCTTCCCCTCTCGGAATGGCACGCGTGGTGCGCCGAACTGCTCAACACCGCCCTGACTGCCGCCAGCATCCAACCACCCCGCCGCGAAGCCGAGTTCAATTTTCTCATCCGCCAAGCAACCCTCCCAGTGGCCCTAGGTGGACTGGGCCTCACAGATCCCACAACAGAAGCAGCACCAGCCTACCTGGCCTCAACGACAGAGGCACTACGCCTGCTCCGCTCACTCCACCTGCCAGCAACCGCGGCGCTAGGGAGCAACAGCAACGCCCTGCAGCCGTCTGCGTCACACTCGGTCACTGTCCAAGATATGGAGGGACGACTGTCGCCGCTGGCGCTGCAATACCTCCGTGAGGAGCAAGAAACCCCGTCCCATGACCAGCTGTAGCGGGCCCTCTCTCAGGAAGTGCACGCGACAAAGGCCGACACCCTGACAGAGGAATCACGCTCAATCAGGTCAGCCCCCGAGATGGGCCACACGCTCCGCCTCGTCAGCCTGAGAGGCGAGGGAGCGGGAGCATGGCTGCAAGCCCTACCCCTGACCCCAGACCTCTGCTTCTCACCAGGGCAATTCCGAACAGCCCTGGCCTTCCGCATGGGCATCCGACAGAACGTACCTACCGTGTGCGAGTGTGGAGAGCTCGTGGCCGACTGCAGCCTACCCAACCACCTACTCCGCTGCAGCACAGGCCCGGACAGAACGCGCACACACAACCAACTGGCCTTTGCCGTGGCAAAAATGGCGAGGGAGGCGCAGCTGGTGGTATACCTGGAGAATGCAATGTACTCACCACCGGATGACCCGAAGAAGGCAGATGTGATTGTACAAGACCCGGACAGTGGAGAGACCTGGATCACAGACACGACTATCACCGACCCTGTGCTGCAGAACCGGGACCCCACAGCCCGCAAACCCCCAGGCTGGGCTGCAAGGGAGGCTCAGAAGCGGAAGGAAAGGGATTACTACCGGCACACAGAACACGTGGTGTTCTGCGCCCTGGCCGTCGAGACCTATGGGGCAAACGCGCCCCCCACGACGGCGTTCCTGAAGCTGCTGGCCACAGCAGCAGCTAGGAACCGGTTCAGGGCCAACCCCTTGGCAAAATCGGCCAAGAAGATGGCCTGCCACTTCAGCCAGCGCTGGTCAGTGGCCCTCCAGCGCTCCCAGGCGAATGCCCTGCACACCAAGGCCAGGGCGGGGATTGAGGCAGCGCACCCCCAGATGGCAGCGGACCCATGGCCGCTGCACCTAGGGGACATCCTCCACACGCTGGAGGGTTAGAGGGGCACTAAGGGGGGGGGGGGGGAGGGTCAGAGGGATGGGTTGATGGGTCGGAAGGTATAAGGGAACCACGAGTCAAATTGCATGTCTGTACCCCCTGCTGAATTAATACAAAGGACCATTTGAGAGAGAGGAATCCCTTAGCCCTCTGCCCTCTGCCTCATCCCTCTGCCCTCTGCCCTCCAGAGCTATTTAAGGGCTGTCTCACCCTCCTTCTCCTCATTATTTTGTGTGGAGTTCATTTTCGGCAAGTCACGCCGGCGGCCTTCGGCCGCCGCCGCTCGCTTGCGCGGCCTTCGGCCGCGCTCTCCTGGTGGCAAGGACTTCAAGCGACAGCATCAAAATAACGGGGTTCAAGCACACATCAACAGGAAGGGAGAGGGGATCTACCTAAAAGGGCGACATGCAATACTACACGCGGCGGAAGCCTACATCGTGTACGGCTCTGCCCCCTCCACCTCAAGCATCGAACGCATGCACGTCGACACCGCCAGAAGGACCTGCGCCGACGACTGAAGCGTGCGCACCGGGGTCCCCTCCTGGGCGGCCACAAGAAGATCCTCCACATGGCGGGGGAAGGTACGCGCTAAGGGCGCTACCCCGGCGGGCGCTTCCGACACGGGCGCCAATATCGGGGCGAGGGCTTCTGCCCAGGTCGCGCACGATCCTCGGGGACCTGGAGCGAAACTGCCCGAAGAGTTTCGCATGGCCCCACACACCGCCATCTGCAGGTTCGCCACCACCTCGCACGCCTCCGCAAGATTCAGCGTCCGGCACATGGTCAGCATGGGGTCTCTCCCCGCGCGAGTGGGGGGAGGTGCAATCGGAGCCTCACGCTGATATGCTGTCTCCCGCCCCGGAAGTCGGCCTCCCGAGAAGGGCTGCGCGGAGAAGCCAGGGACCTGCCGAGGGGTGCGGAACAGCGCCCTCCCCCCCCCGCGCGGGCAGATACTCGCTCAATACCGGCGCGCGCAGAGGGGCCGCGACGTCAGGGGCTAGGGCGTGAGAATGACCGTTGGTCACCTCGATGTGGACGTGAGTTGGCTCACCAGTCGCTCGCGCCTGGCGCATCGCCGCTGCAAACACATTCACGGCTTCACCAACCGCAGGATCCTGCCCGCGACCAGCTCCGCCGCGACCCGCTCCATTCCGCCGACCCCGACGGCCACCAGAGCCCGCCGAGTGCGGACGCGGGGGGGATTGCTCGCGGCGCCCAGAATCCCATCGTCGCCCAGGAGAACCCCTCCCCCGCCTCGCCGGAGATCGACGCGGAGAGCGCTGCGCGGGGGATCGCGCTCGCGGTGAGCGCAGGGCTGCCCGATCTTGGGGAGATCGGTGACGGGGAGAGCGGGGGCTCGCAGGCGACAGCTGATCGCCAGCTCCGTGGCGGCGAAGCTCGCGTTGACCAGGAGAGCGACGCCGAGGGGAACGTTGCTGCTGGGGCTGGCGCTGCGGCGATCGCCCACGCTCATGAGGCGGCTGTCCAACCGAACGATTCGACCCAACGCGGGCCGGCGCCCACGAATACTCAGGAGAGTTTGGGCGCGCGCTCGCCTGATGAGGTAGAGACAGCCCGCGCTCCAGACGCCGCACGGGCTCAGACGCGGATGGATGCGCAGGAGCGCGGAGACGGGGTGCAGCGGGCGCCTGAGGACGGGTGCCCGCGCTGTCCGCCGTACTCTCTTGCGCGCGGTCGCGACCCGCGGAGGGGTCCATCATGCCCGAACGAACCGTCGCGGACGCCAGCGGGCCGTCAAAGGAGGGGCCTTGGTACCGCCTCGGCGCCACAACCGACACGCAATATTGCAGCGGCGGCCTCCGCGCAGCACGGAATCCGCGTAGGAAGAGGAGGGAGACGGGGTGGTCGTAGAGGAGGCGCTGCGGTTCAACGACGGGGCGCTAGTAGCTTCGCGAGGGCTGCTCACAGGATCCTGAGGGGAAGGGTTAGAGATGGGGAAGAATCGAGTGACGAGAACTCTGTGGGTGACCCTCTATTTAACCCTGAAAGAGAGGGTAGCCCCGGTCCCTCCCCCGAGTTAGAAGAGGCAGAGCAGGTTAGAGATGTGGACCGAACTCCAACACCGAGCCGAGCCGCATCTGCAATCCGAATTGGAAGACAGAGCCGAGTCGGGGGGGGAAACCGAGCCGCACAAATTGCAGATGGCACCCCAACTCGGGCCAATCAGCAGAGTGCAGATGCACCCACAGGCCTGCCCCTGTTCAGTGCAGGCGACCTGGCAAAACGCCAGGACCTTTTCGCTGATGTCGCAACTTGGGACCTACACCCCCTTCGCGACAGCAGGCAACCACCTCTCGCCCGTCACCCACCTCGCACTCTTCGCGAATCTTTCGCAGCCTGCCTTCTCACCCCGCTGCTACACCTCGCAAAAGACCCTGACTCGCCTGCAGGCTGGAGACTGCTCATGTTCCTCCCGCGCATCCTCTTGCGCACCTCATCAGCCAAGCGCCCAGATTGGTCGAAGGTAGGAGCCAGGCTGATAAGGTTCCGCCAAGGCCAGTGGCGGAGCCTGTACGACGAGGCGGCTGACGCAGTATCCCAACCACCCCAGCCACGCCATGCGCCAGACACCACAGGCATCCTGGCAAGGGCAGAGGGACTCGCCAAACGAGGGAACCTAGCAAAATCCCTCCAATCCCTCACGGCCACGCCAGTCTCCCCCCCCTCAACTGACGTGCTTCGGGCTCTCTCAGCTCGACACCCCCCTGCGCGCCAATCCATCCCGGAGTGGGTGCCGGATTTCACCACAGAGTGCACCCCTTCAATCCCTCCACGCGACTTCAGACGCATTCTCGCCAAATGCCCAAACGGAGTGGGCGCTGGTCCCTCGGGGACCACCTTCGAACACCTGAGGGACACAACACTTGGGAATACGGACATCTTCCTGCAATTGCACGCACTCACAAACACGGCGTTAGCCGGAAAACTCAGCGCGGAAGCAGCAGAACTCCTCACTGCGTCACGCTTACTTGCTTTCACGAAGCCCCATGGGGGCACACGGCCTATAGCAGTAGGCGAATGCCTGCTCAGATTAGTAGCAAAAGCGGCTCTATTCTTGGCGGCTGAGAGAGCACGCGATCACTTCGCACCGCTGCAATTCGGGGTGGCGGTAGCAGGAGGCATCGAGGCGGCGGTGCACACGGCAAGGACATACCTGGAGGAGAATGACGGGGCTGTGGCGCTACAAATCGACCTGGCGAACGCCTTTAACGCGGTCGAGCGGGCAGCAGTGTTTGAAGGCCTCAAGGGGACCACCCTGGAATTCATGGTGCCCCTGGTCCGGCTCTCCTATGGTGTCCCCTCGGAACTGCACCTCGACCACGCGTTTCATGCCCCCCCCCTACAATCCGCACGCGGCGTACGCCAAGGGGATCCGCTGGGCTCCTCTTCGCCGCCAGCATTCACCCGTGCCTGGTAGCCGCGGCGGAGGCGCACCCAGGAGTCGTCATCCTCGCCTACGCGGACGACATTACGCTCCTGGGGGAAGCTGAGGCGTGCACAGAGGCATTCAATCACCTCACCAGGGCGCTGCTTCCCCTAGGCCTGGAACACAACCCCGAGAAGTGCGCAGCATGGTCAGCTGCGCACATTGACCCCGCCTCTCTTCCGCCGCATGTACCTTTCTCGGCGGACGGGATCCGCGTCCTGGGGAGCCCAATAGGCCCGCAGGCGGGATGCGCGGCGCTGGTACAGGAGCGCCTGTCAGCAGCAGCAGAGCCACTTCCGCTACTGTCACAAATGGACCCGCAGCTGTGCCTGCTACTCCTAACACGGTGCGTGAGCCGCCGCGCCTCCTGCCTCGTCAGAACGACGCCCTTGGAGGTGCTGCCAGCGGACACCTGGTCAGAGTGGGGGGAGCAGCTGCTACACACTTACCTGACGGCGGCACACACGACGACACCCAGGGAGGAAGAAGAGCGGGGGAGAATCTGGCGGCAGGCCGCCCTGCCCGTGACGCTGGGCGGCCTCGGCATCACCAACCCAGCCACGGAAGGGGTGTTCGCTTACCTAGCCTCGGTCATTTCCACGGCCCACCTGCTGCGCTCGTTCGGCGACACGTTGCACCCCTCAATCACCCAGATGCTGCCGCTACTAGATGCAGACGCGAACTCACCCTCGGTCCTGCCAAGGCGCCTCGCAGCGGCAGAAGCCACGCTGCCCCCGGATGGACTAGAAGCTCTACAGGCCGGCCGACGCGGGACGGATGGCCCGAAGCTACAGCAGGCCCTGTCGCTGGCCGTCCACACAGCCCGCTATATTGAGGTGCTCGATGCCTCGCGGGAGATGCCCCTGAACCCGCTCTACGGCCACACCCAACGCCTGCAGTCACTCCTCGGCCCCGGGGCGGGAGATTGGCTGCTAGCCATCCCCCTGGTCCCGGCTCTTCGCCTCGGCCCCTCGCAGCACTCCACTGCATCCTCCTTCCGCCTAGGCCTCCCCCTTCCCGTCCCTCGGCGCTGCGACTGCCGCCACCGCACGACCTTCCCTGACCACCGCCTACCCAACCACCTCATGCGTTGTGAGAAAGGCGGGGGGAGGATTGCCACTCACCATGCTCTTCGGGATGAGTGTGCGAAGATCGCAGCAGAGGCAGGCTACACGGTGCACAAGGAATCCACAGTGTACTCACCGGTCGAAAACCTCAAAGCGGACGTTTGCATCCGCCATCCCGACACCGCAAAGTCCACATGTGCGACATCACCGTGACAGACCCGGTCTCTCACCAGGACGAGTTTGCGCGGAAGGCGCCTGGGTGGGCTGCAAGGATGCAAGCCGCCAAGAAAGAAGACAAGTACGCGCGGCGGAACGCGTGGGTGGGCTTCCATGCCATGGCGGTTGAGACGTACGGCTACCCGTCCCCGGGAGTGCACACCTTCCTCCGCAGCTGCGCCGAGCTCGCGGGCAAGCGGCGGTTCAACGCTGCGCCAAAGTCAAGGGAGGTGGCCAGGCTCCTTACGGAGTACCGTCAGCGCTGGAGTGTGACACTCCAGCGCGCCCAGGCCAATGCCCTTCGTGACAAGACCCACGAGGCCATTGCCGCGGATGAGCTTGGCCTGCAAGGCCCGTTTGACAAGAAACTTCCTAGCAGTCTAACTCCCTCCCGTGTAAATGCCCTCTGCTTTCTGCCCTCTGCCATGAGTACTTAAGGCCACGGCGGCCTCTCCATCTCTCATTCTTTCAGTTGGTGCTGAAAATTTCGGTTCTTCCTCGTTCGAGAGAGCGAGAGAGAGAGAGGATTAGCCTCTCCCCTTCTACCCTCTGCCCTCTGCTTTCTGCCCTCTGCCATGAGTACTTAAGGCCACGGCGGCCTCTCCATCTCTCATTCTTTCAGTTGGTGCTGAAAATTTCGGCGCTTCGCGCCGGCGGCCGTGCGCGGCCTTCGGCCGCGCGTTAGGGATGGCAAGGGGGAACAACAAGCAGTAGTAGCTTAGGCAATCGATACAAGCAAGGCAAGCTAGAACACTTAGCAAGACGGCGATGGAACAGGTCTACACGCGCAAGGGGGGAGCGCCTACATGCGGTCCGCCTCTACCGCAGCGAGCATTCCGCTCGTGTTCAACCACAACTGGCGGACCACTAACACGGTGGCGCCTACAACGTCAACAGGAGTACCAGAGCCTGCTACAAGCGTCCTCAGAGCCAGGGCCGAGTTAGCCAGCTGGCTGGCCGAGGTTGCTCCCGGCGAGGGCCCTACCTGCAGTGGCGCTACGAGCGCGAATAGCGCTGACGCCGCCGCATGGCAATCAGCTCGCGGCTTCTGAGAGAATCTGCTCGGAGGGCTCACCGGCATGGAGCCAAATGACTCCTGGAGAATTTGCTCAAGGCTCTGAAGGGACGCCGCCAGCGACCATAGGCGGGCCAGGGTCGCCGTGGGAACTTCCTTCATCGGCGGAAGCAACGCAGACGCGCGGGCACGGTGAGACGACACGGCGAGATCACGCGGAGCAGGAAGAGGACGCGGCGGAGCAAACGGAGCCCACGGCGGCCCGCCACCAGCGCCTACGAAGCCCATCCCCGCAGGCAGCGGCCGCGCTGAGCGCGCCGGGGATCCAAAAGGATCGTGGGGCAGGAGCGCGGAGAGAGGGACGACGGGAGCAGCGCGAGGAGCTGATGGTGACGCCGACCCCGCACGCGAGCGACGAAGCTCCTTCTCCACGTCATCAAGCCGATCCAGAAGACGGCGCTCCATTGCGGACGGCGCTGGACGCGCTTTTCCGCCACGACTGTCACCTCCCCGTCGCCCACGACGCGCACGCCCACTTGCGTTCGAGCGCACAGGCGACTGCGGGCGAGATGGGCCCTGCGGACGCTGGCGGCCGGGGAAACGGTCCCCGCGATGAGGGGAGTAGAGCCGTTGGCGCTTTGCAGGAGGGGGCGAACGCGGAGCTGGGGGCCGACGCCCAGAGGTCTGGCGGGCGGGCGATCGCTGACGAGATGAACGGGGAGCGGGCGAACGATGACGATGCGAGCGGCGGTCACGGGATCGACTCCGCGACGCCACGCGACGAGGCGAACGAGGCGACAGCGGCGAACGAGCCGCACCGTGACGATCGTCGCGGCGGCTCTCCCGCTTATCGTCGCGAGCTGCCGATGAGCGACGGCGAGGCGAACGCTCCCGGTGCGCCACAGCCTCTGCGCCGGAGCGCGCGACGGACCCCGCGCGCGGGGGCTCCCGCGGTGACAAGGACCGGCCCGCGCGCGGAGCCAACTCGCGCCGCTGGTCCTCGAAGCGGCGGCGGATCTGATCAGCGGACGCCGGCGGAGCAACAGGCACGCTCGCGGCAGGGCGTGCAGGAGGAAGCGGACGGGGAGCAGGATCGCTCTCCGCGGCACAGTCGCGGCCCAGAGCGCCAAGGAAATCCATTGGCCAACGCTCAAGACGCTCCACTGGCACACAAGGAGCCAACAACGCCGATCTCCCAGGCGCAACAGGCGGAACCTGTGGCAGCTACCCCGCGGAGCGGACGGGGAAGCACGCGGGGGAGAGGCGGGCGACGAGGAGCGCGCGGAGGGCAGAGGAGCGCAGGCCAAGCGGGAAGGGGACCGCACAGCCAGTTGCCGAGCCCAATCTGGTTGGGGGAGCCGGCGGAACGAGTCACGCGCCAGTCATTCGCCAGGCGGGGGGCGAGGGGAGGAACACCAGCGCAAGCGGGGAGAAAGAGGGATATCAACACAGAGGGGAGTGGAGACGATTATATACCGTCAGATCTGAGGCAACCAGACAATCCCGACTCACCTCACGCGGAACAAGGAGAGGGGCAAGCGCAGCAACAGGAGAGAGGAACCGGCCGCAGACAGCATCGCAGAGCTCAGCTTCCCCCGGACCAGGCACTATCGGCGTCCCAGCTGGCCTCGCGGGAGGATCTTTTCCAAATCGCGATGACTTGGGACCTTACACTCCTAACCTCCACCACCCACCTACCAATCGTCCGCCGACTGCCGCCGCAGATCCTCAGCGACTACTCCACCTGTATGCTGGCTGCCCTACTTCGGATCTCCAAGCTGCCTAATTGCGCGGGAGCATGGCGGGTCCTCATGTTCCTGCCACGTCTCACGCTAAGACTTAGCCGGAGATCCAGCTCTAGGTGGAAACTGTTGCGGGAACAGATGCATCTATTCCGATGTGGCCACTGGACCCAGCTGTACACTGACTACTTGGGGTCAATGCACCTGGCCGAACCACCTCAGCACCAACGTGACCCACTGGGAATTTGCTCACGTGCGGAGGGGTTGGTGAAACGGGGTAACCTGCGAAAGGCGTTAGCAGCCCTACAACCCTCGCCTTCAGCACCTGCGACAATTGCGACACTACAGCAGCTGGAATCGAAACACCCCCAACCCCAAAATGACCTGCCCGAGTGGGTGCATTCCTACACCACACCCACGCAATTTTCAACCACTCTGGAACGATTTTCCGACGTCCTTGGAGAATGCCCCAGGGGAATTGGGGCTGGCCCATCGGGGTCAACTTTCGAACACTACCGCGATCCAGCGCTAAGTAACATCGAGGTACTGGGGCACCTCCACTCCGCCGTTACGCATCTTCTCTCGACAAATCTTTCCACTGAAGTCGCAGCACTACTTGCCCCGTCCCGCCTTATAGCCTTCGCCAAACCAGGGGGGGGGGTACGTCCCATTGCGATTGGAGAGTCATTGCTTAGGCTAGCGGCGAAGGTGGCGCTCTCAGATCTGCAAGGGGAAACGCGAAATTTTTTCCTACCTCAGCAATTTGGCGTGGCAGTCCCTGGAGGTGCAGAATTTGTCATCCATGCTGTCCGAGACCTCACCACGGTGCAGCCCTCCAGCCTTGTACTCCAACTCGACATTGAGAATGCGTTCAACTCAGTAGAGAGGAGCGCGTTCTTCAACGCACTCATCGGCTCCCTACTAGCTCCCCTAATCCCCTTCACACGCTCTTTCTACGCAGCATCTTCACCACTGCTGCTAGACCCATGCTTCAATTCCATGGCACTCACCAGCGGAAGGGGAGTCAGACAGGGGGGTCCCCTCGGACCCCTGTTATTCGCAGCGTCTATCCAGCAGCACCTCAGGCACGTAGCAACGGAGCACCCGGAAGTCACGGTCCTCGCTTACGCGGACGACATAACCATGATTGGACCCGCGGCGGCGACGCTAGAAGCGCTCAGGGAGCTCACGCCGCTGCTGGCACGGGATGGTCTCACCTGCAACTTTAGGAAGTCGTCGGCGTGGTCCACCGTACCGCTAGGAGGTGACGTACTCCCCGAGGGCCTTCCCCTCACCCGCGAGGGGGTGCGGGTGTTGGGAAGTCCAGTGGGGTCGCAGAGCTTCTGCTCTGATTTTGTCCGCAGTACCCTGACAGACGCGGCAGCCCCCTTGGGCTCTCTGGCGTCCATCCACCCACAACACGCCCTCCTGCTACTGTCTCGTTGCATCAGCCGCAGAGTCGGCTACTTGCTGCGCACTACCCCAGCTGACGTCTTACCGCTCTCGGAATGGCACACATGGTGCGCCGAACTACTGAACACTGCCTTGACCGCCGCCAGCCTTCAACCGCCACGCCGAGAAGCCGAGTTCAACTTCCTTCTCCGACAGGCAACTCTCCCAGTAGCCCTAGGCGGACTGGGCCTTACGGACCCCACAACCGAAGCAGCACCGGCCTACCTGGCATCTACAACGGAGGCGCTACGCCTGCTCCGCTCCCTGGACCTACCGGCAACCGCGCCGCTAGGGGCCAACAGCAACGCCCTGCAGCCGTCTGCAGCGCACTCCGTGACCATCCAGGACATGGAGGGGCGACTGCCACCGCTGGCGCTACAAAGCCTACGGGAGGAGCAGCAAACCCCGTCCCAAGACCAGCTGCAGCGCGCCCTCTCCCAGGAAGTGCACGCGGCAAAGGCCGACGCCCTAAGAGAGGAGTCACGCACAATACAGTCAGCCCCCGGCTGGGCTACACACTCCGCCTAGTCAGCCTGAGAGGAGAGGGAGCGGGAGCGTGGCTGCAGGCACTACCCTTGACCCCGGACCTCTGCTTCTCACCGGGTCAGTTCCGAGCGGCCCTGGCCTTCCGCATGGGCATCCGACAGAATGTACCAACCGTGTGCGAGTGCGGAGAACTCGTAGCCGACTGCAGCCTACCCAACCACTTACTCCGCTGCAGCACAGGCCCCGACAGGACGCGCACACACAACCAGCTGGCCTTCGCCATGGCTAAAATGGCGAGGGAGGCGCAGCTGGTGGTATACCTGGAGAACGCGATGTACTCACCACCGGATGACCCGAAGAAGGCAGATGTGATTGTACAAGACCCGGACAGCGGAGAGACCTGGATCACAGACACCACTATCACTGACCCTGTGCTGCAGAACCGAGACCCTACGGCCCGCAAACCCCCAGGTTGGGCTGCAAGGGAGGCACAGAAGCGGAAGGAGAGGGACTACTACCGACACACTGAACACGTGGTGTTCTGCGCCCTGGCCGTCGAGACCTATGGGGCAAACGCGCCCCCCACGACGGCGTTCCTGAAGCTGCTGGCCACAGCAGCAGCTAGGAACCGCTTCAGGGCCAGCCCCTTGGCGAAATCCGCCAAGAAGATGGCCTGCCACTTCAGCCAGCGCTGGTCAGTGGCCCTCCAGCGCTCCCAGGCGAACGCCCTGCACACCAAGGCCAGGGCTGGGATTGAGGCAGCACACCCCCAGATGGCAGCGGACCCCTGGCCGCTGCACCTGGGGGACATCCTCCACACGCTGGAGGGCTAGAGGGTCACTCGGGGGGGAGGGGTGTTTCATTTTCGGCGGAGAGAGAGCGAGAGAGAGAAGGCCTTAGCATCCAGCCCTCTCCCTCTTCCCTCTGCCCTCTCCCTCTGAGCCTATTTAAGGGGCCCTCTGTGCCTTCCCTGCCTCATTATTTCGTGGGTGTTTCATTTTCGGCGGAGAGAGAGCGAGAGAGAGAAGGCCTTAGCATCCAGCCATCTCCCTCTTCCCTCTGCCCTCTCCCTCTGAGCCTATTTAAGGGGCCCTCTGTGCCTTCCCTGCCTCATTATTTCGTGGGTGTTTCATTTTCGGCGCCTCGCGCTGGTGGCCTTCGGCTGCCGCCGCTCGCAAGCGCGGCCTTCGGCCGCGCGTTCCTGGTGGCAAGACACAAAACGTGGGTTCGGCATATAAAGGGCACACACACACACAAAGGCAAGGAGCAGGGCAAGAGCAAGAGGCGCGGCATGCAATTCTACACGCGGCGGAGGCCTACATCGTGTACGGCTCCGCCCCCTCCACCTCAAGCATCGAGCGCATGCACGCCGATACTGCAAGAAGGAGATGCGCCGTCGACTGGAGGGTGTCCAAGGGGGTCCCGGCTTGAGCAGCCCCTACAAGATCCCCCACGTGGCGGGGGAAAGTACGGGCTAAGGGAGCTAACCCGGCGGGCGCATCCGACACGGGTGCCAACGGCGACTCGAGCGATTCTGCCAAAGTCACGCAGGATCCTCGGAACCCTGGACCGAAACTGCTCGGAAAGCTCCGCGTGGCCCCACACACCGCCAGTTGCAAGTTTGCCACCACCTCGCACGCCTCCGCCAGATTCAGAATCCGGCACATGGTCAGCATGGGGTCTCTCCCCGCGCGAGTGCGGGGAGGTGCAGTCAGCGCTTCGCACGGAAACGCCGCCGGCCAGCCAGGAGTCCGGCCAACAGACAAGCGCGGCGCAGAGAAGTCGGGGACCTGACGGGGGGTGCGGAACTGAGCACTCCCCTCACGCGCGGGCTGATATTCGCGCAGCGTCGGCGCGCGCAGAGGAGCAACCTGGCCGGGGTCCGCGGCGAGGGGGGGACCGTTGGTCACCTCAATGTGGACGTGAGTCGGCGCCCCACTCGCCCGGGCCTGCCTCACCACCTCCACGAACGTGTTTGCGGCGCGATCGAGGGCAGGATCCGGCTGGGTGCCATTCCCGCCTCGCCCTCCGCCATTCCGCCGGCCCCGCCGTCCCCCGGAACCAGCCGAATGTGGACGCGGGGGGGACTGCTCGCGGCGACCCGAATCCCAGCGACGCCCAGGCGACCCCCTCCCCCGCGTCGCCGGAGATCGCCGCGGAGAGCGTTGCGCGGGGGATCGCGCTCGGGGTGAGCGCTGGCCTGCCCGACCACGAGGGGACGGGCGGCGAGGAGAGCGAGGACGTGCAGGGGAGCGCTGATCCCCCTCCCCGCGCTGATAGTGCTCGCGATGCTCAGGAGAAGGGCGGCCGAGGAGGCTGACGAGGAGGCGAGCGCCCGCGCTCATGCCGCGGCTGACCGTCCGGGCGGTTCGACGCAACGCGTGCAGGCGCCCACGAATACTCCGGCGAGGTGGGGCGCGCGGCAGTCCGATGGGGAAGTGTTTGCACCCGCTCGAAGTGGCGGACGGGCTCGCTTGCGGAGGGGTGCGCAAGGAGACGCGGACGAGGCCCGGCAGGCGCAGGCTCCGGCAGCGCGCTCTCCGCGGAACCCTCCAGCTCCGGATCCCGTCTCGCGGATGGGTCCATCACCCCCCATCGTACCGCAGCCGACGCCAGCGCGCCGACGAAGCGAAAACGAGACGGTCGCGGCGCCGCAGACGGGGCGCGAGGGAGCTGCAGTTGGAAGAGCAACGCGTGGAATCCGCGTGGGACGCGGCAGCCGCCGCGGACGACGAGGTAACGAGAGAGGACGAAGAGGTGGTGGAACACGGGGTTCAAACAGGCGCCGCACTGGTGCAAGCGGCTACGCGAGAAATGCGGAAAGGCTGATGCGAAACGGCGCGGAGGGCGGCGAGGAACCGCTTAGCGAGGAGGCAGAGGAGGAAGTGGAGAATGAGGAAAGTGACGAGGGTGACCCTGCTTTTAACCCTGAAAGAGAGGGGATGTTGGGAGCAGAAGCTGAGGAGGACGAGGAGGAGTTGGAACTTTTGCTTCGGGGAGAGGAGCTCCCCAGCCCAAATGCCCGAGGCGAACCTGCCAACCGGACCACAGCTCAGAACCGAGCCGCGGGGGGAAATCACGCAAGGAGGGGAAATCGAGCCGCGACAGAGACTGGAGTTGACTCTGCGACAGCCAATGAGAATTCAGCAGCCCCAATTCCGACCCCCCCAATGCTCAAACCCGACGACCTGGCGAAAAATACTGACCTGTTCGCCCAGGTTGCTGACTGGGACATTGGCCCGCTGCGCGACAGTCGCCAACCCCCAGCCGCCCGCCACCCTCCAAAAGACCTTCGCGAGTCTTTCGCGATTTGCCTGCTGACACCGTTACTCCACCTGGCAGCCAACCCCGAGTCAGAACCTGGCTGGATGTTACTCACCTTCCTCCCTCGCCTACTTCTTCGCTCCTCGTCAGCTCGTAAGCCTGACTGGAGCGCAATGATGAACAGGCTCCTGCGATTTCGCCAAGGGCTCTGGGCCGGCCTCTACGAAGAAGCTGCCGAATCGATCTCCCTCCCCCCGCAGCCTCGCCACGCACCTGACACAACTGGAATTCTCGCCAGAGCGGAGGGCCTAGCGAAGCGTGGTAACCTCTCAAAATCGTTGCAATCCCTGCAAGCCACGCCCGTGTCGCCTGCCTCACCTGAAGTTCTCGAGGCCCTCAGGACGAGACACCCACCTGCATCCCAACCGCTACCTGAGTGGCTGCACGCTGCCACAGCGGAAAACCCTCCCGCTATCGAAGCCCGCGACTTCAGAAGGATCATCGCCAAGCTCCCCAACGGAGTGGGGGCGGGCCCCTCAGGAACTACCTTCGAACATCTCCGTGATGCAGCACTAGGCAACGCCGAAGTCTTCACCCACCTCTTAGCGCTCACCAACACGGCCCTAACGGGGAAGCTACCAGCCGTTGCGGGAGAGCTACTTACCGCCTCTCGCCTTTTGGCCTTCACGAAACCGCACGGTGGGACAAGGCCGATCGCGGTTGGGGAATGCCTACTACGGATCATCGCCAAAGCTGCCCTTTTCCTGATCGCGCCAGCCGCTAGATCCCATTTCGTCCCCCTTCAGTTCGGCGTGGCAGTAGCGGGGGGCATTGAGGCCGCTATACACACGGCACGTACTTACCTGGAGGTCCATCCCGCGGCAGTGGCGCTGCAGATCGACCTTGCGAACGCGTTCAACGCGGTCGAGAGGAGAGGGGTGTTCGAGGGGTTGAGGAACGAAGCGCTCGAGAGCCTCACCCCCCTGGTCCGCCTGTCTTTCGGAGTCCCCTCCTCGCTCTTCCTCGACCATGAGTTCGCAGCGGCTCCACTGCAAAGCGCCAGGGGGGTCCGCCAAGGTGATCCCCTCGGCCCACTTCTATTCGCCGCCAGCATCCACCCCTGCCTCGTTGCGACGGCGACGGCGCACCCGCAGGTGGTCCTACTCGCCTATGCCGACGACATCACGCTGCTCGGTGAAGCGTCAGCCTGCGCCGCGGCCTTCGACCACCTCACAGCCGCGCTCGCCTCCATGGGGCTCCTCCACAACCCTGCTAAGTGCGCGGCTTGGTCCGCCGCCCCAATTGACCCTGACTCCGTCCCCCCCGGCATCACCATCTCGACCGAAGGGCTGCAAATCCTCGGCAGCCCCGTCGGCACAACGCAGGGCTGCGCCGCGGCAGTCAGGGACAGACTTACGGCAGCAGCTGAACCGCTCCCGTTGCTAGCGCAAATGGACCCGCAGCTCTGCCTCCTCCTCCTCACACGCTGCGTCAGCCGCCGAGCTTCCTTCCTGGCAAGGACAACCCCGCTGGAGGTCGTGCCCACAGCAGAGTGGTCGGCATGGGGGGAGCGGCTGCTCCTCGCGTTCCTAGAGGCTGCGCACATTGTCGCGCCAAGGAGCAACGCGGAAAGGAGGCGTATTTGGCGGCAGGCAGCGCTCCCCGTTACCTTGGGGGGTTTGGGCATTACGGACCCGGCCGTGGAAGGAAGTTACGCGTACCTCGCGTCGGTGATCGGCGCGGCTCACCTCCTGCACTCGCTAGCCGACTCCCTACACCCCGCCATAGCCGCACTGCTCCCCCTTATGGACTCCATCCCGGACTCCGCAGCTGCCCTGCCCTCGCGCCTAGCTGCAGCTGAAGCGGCCCTGCCTCCAGACGGCCTGGAGGCCCTTCAGGCTGGTAAAAGTGACCCCAAGGGACTGAAGCTCCAGCAGTCCCTGGCCCTGGCAGTCCACACCCGCCGCTACCTCCGAGTGCTGAACACGGCGCGGCGGATGCGCCCAAACCCCCTCTCAGGGCATGCCCAGCGGATGCAGTCCCTGCTGGGCCCGGGAGCAGGGGACTGGCTGCTGGCAATTCCACTCTCTTGTGCGCTGAGGCTGGGCCCCTCCCAACACTCTACTGCTTCCTCCTTCCGCCTTGGCCTCCCCCTCCCTGTCCCGAGGCGGTGCGACTGCCGATGCCGCACCACCTTCCCTGATGACCGCCTCCTGAATCACCTTATGCGCTGCGAGAAGGGGAAGGGGAGGACTGCCACACACCATGCTCTCAGGGATGAAATCGCAAGGATAGGGGCGGAAGCGGGCTTCACGGTTCACAAGGAGACCTATGCATATTCTCTGGTTGAAAACCTTAAAGCGGATGTCTCCATCCGCCATCCCCTGACCGGAGAAGTGTGGCTTTGTGATGTGACCGTGACTGACCCGGTGTCTTACCAGGACGAGAACTGCAACCGCGCACCCGGTTGGGCGGCTAGGGCGGCAGCTGCTCGGAAGGAGGAGAAATATGTGGGACGGAACGCGTGGGTGGGGTTCCACGCCTTAGCCGTGGAGACCTACGGCTACCCGTCGCCGGGGGTGCTGGCTTACCTTCGGCAGTGCGCGGAGCTGGCTGCGAAGCTCCGCTACAACGCGGCCCCTACCTCTCGAGAGGCTGCCAAGCTGCTGACGGAGTACCGCCAGCGCTGGAGCGTGTGCCTCCAGAGGGCGCAGGCCAACGCCCTCCGCACCAAGACCAATGAGGCCTTGGAAGTGGACGAGCTCAGCCTGCAAGGGCCGTGGGCCCCTCTCAATGAGGGGCAGCTGCACCAGCTGATTGAGCCCCCGTCCGACCACTAGGGTCGGACAGAAGGGGGGGGGAGTGGGGTAGGTGATGGTTGATAGGTCTGCTTGTTTGTCTAGTATGCATGTGTCTGCTTCAAACCTTTGTATCACCCTTCAACTAATACACGGACCATTCGAGAGAGAGAGAGAGAGAGAGAGAGAGAGAGAGAGAGAGAGAGAGAGAGAGAGAGAGAGAGAGAGAGAGAGAGAGAGAGAGAGAGAGAGAGAGAGAGAGAGAGAGAGAGAGAGGTGAGACGAGGGACGACAAGGGATGGCAAGACACCTCCAAGGAGAAAACCGATCTCTTCTGTGCGTGCGTGCGTGGCTTACCCGTGGTTGCTGAAGGGCGTTGAGGTCGAGTGCAGGGAGAAGGCCGGGTGGGCGGCGTCAGCAGAGGGCAGGGCGTAGCAGCGCAACACCTGACCCACGTGCAGCGATGTCCAGGGGGTCACCTTGCCCCCTGCCTGCTCCTCTTGCTCCCTGGTGTGAGGGAGAGGAGCATGGGAGAGAACGGACGCGTGAAACGGATAGCATGGGGGAGGGCGAAGCAGCTTAGCACCTGCCCCACATGCAGTGATGCCCAGGGGGCCACCTTGCCCCCCGCCCGCCTGCTCCTCTTGCTCCCTGTGGCGAGCAAGAGAGCGAGATATTGGAGAGACGTAGCGAGTGAAAGGGATGGCATGGGTGAGGGATAAAGGTGGCACGGAGGAGGGCGGATGGAGATAAAACGTGCATGGACCGTCCAAAACCATGCGACCTCCCGACTCCCTTCACCTCCCGCCTTCCCCTCCCCTCCTCTCCCCTTCCCCCCTCTTTCCAAACCCTCTTCTCCCCCGCCTCTTCCCTCCCCCCAGCACACACCTGTGGATGGTGGCAGAGAAGTCCCCATAGAAGTGCACGGTGCACGTATCCTTAGTCACCGTCTCCACCCACCCGTGCGTGCACACGCCCGCCGTTGCTTGCGAAGGGCTCGTCAGAACAGGCAGTTTGGACGACAGCTGCAGTGTGCGCAGGGGGAAGCAGGGTCTTGGAATTAATGCTCCGAATTGAAGGAGCCAGATTTCAAGCTTTTCCGGGTTTCAGAGATGGGGCAGGAGGGTAGGTGGGAGAGGGGATGGTGAATGTATGGATGAGGACATTCACCATCCATACATACAGCAGTGGATGGATGGATGTGGGCAGCAGATGGATGTAAAGGAGGGGTATGAGTGCAGGGGTAGGAGGACAATGAGTGCAGGCGTAGGAATAAAGGTACAGCATAGTGCAGAGCGGTGGTGGGAGATTGGCACCTCTCTCCGGTCCACTCTTTTCCAATACCCTCCATCCCCTGTACGCCTCTCTCATGCACCCTCAACTACCCAGCTCCCTCATTTCTTCCTCGCTCCTCCCTCCTCCCTCGCCCCCCTCTCAACTTCTCAACCCACCAGTGTTTTCTTGTGGGTGAGCAGCACAGGTCCCTCGGGGCCCTCCCCCTGGCGCAGCACTCGGAACTGCAGCAACGCCCCTGGCTGCTAGGGAAGAGGGGCAGAGGCACAGAACAGACGAGCATGTAGTGTGTTGGCAGAGAGATTGGAGGGAGGGTGGATGGGAGGGAGGGAGGGAGGGAGGGAGTGTTGTATGCATGCACAAGAGCATGACCGCACACCCATGGAAGGCAGGGCAGGGCACGGCACACATTCAAGGACGGCTCTCCCAGAGAGCATAGGGGTGCCAAGGAAATACCACAAGGGTCGCATCTCATCTCATACAGGAAAGTACTTGGAAGGCCGCATCTCATCTTATACCCCACAAGCTGCAGTCCCGGCGTGTGGGGACTGGAGCTGCAGTCCCGGCGTGTGGGGACTGGAGCTGCAGTCCCGGCGTGTGGGGACTGGAGCTGCAGTCCCGGCGTGTGGGGACTGGAGCTGCAGTCCCGGCGTGTGGGGACTGGAGCTGCAGTCCCGGCGTGTGGGGACTGGAGCTGCAGTCCCGGCGTGTGGGGACTGGAGCTGCAGTCCCGGCGTGTGGGGACTGGAGCTGCAGTCCCGGCGTGTGGGGACTGGAGCTGCAGTCCCGGCGTGTGGGGACTGGAGCTGCAGTCCCGGCGTGTGGGGACTGGAGCTGCAGTCCCGGCGTGTGGGGGCTGGAGCTGCAGTCCCGGCGTGTGGGGGCTGGAGCTGCAGTCCCGGCGTGTGGGGGCTGGAGCTGCAATCCCCGCGTGTGGGGGCTGGAGCTGCAGTCCCCGCGTGTGGGGACTTGAGCTGCAGTCCCGGCGTGTGGGGACTGGAGCTGCAGTCCCGGCGTGTGGGGACTGGAGCTGCAGTCCCGGCGTGTGGGGACTGGAGCTGCAGTCCCGGCGTGTGGGGACTGGAGCTGCAGTCCCGGCGTGTGGGGACTGGAGCTGCAGTCCCGGCGCGTGGGGACTGGAGCTGCAGTCCCGGCGGGTGGGGGCTGGAGCTGCAGTCCCGGCGTGTGGGGACTGGAGCTGCAGTCCCGGCGTGTGGGGACTGGAGCTGCAGTCCCGGCGTGTGGGGACTGGAGCTGCAGTCCCGGCGCGTGGGGACTGGAGCTGCAGTCCCGGCGCGTGGGGACTGGAGCTGCAGTCCCGGCGCGTGGGGACTGGAGCTGCAGTCCCGGCGCGTGGGGACTGGAGCTGCAGTCCCGGCGCGTGGGGACTGGAGCTGCAGTCCCGGCGCGTGGGGACTGGAGCTGCAGTCCCGGCGTGTGGGGGCTGGAGCTGCAGTCCCGGCGTGTGGGGGCTGGAGCTGCAGTCCCGGCGTGTGGGGGCTGGAGGTGCAGTCCCGGCGTGTGGGGGCTGGAGCTGCAGTCCCGGCGTGTGGGGGCTGGAGCTGCAGTCCCCGCGTGTGGGGACTTGAGCTGCAGTCCCGGCGTGTGGGGACTGGAGCTGCAGTCCCGGCGTGTGGGGACTGGAGCTGCAGTCCCGGCGTGTGGGGACTGGAGCTGCAGTCCCGGCGTGTGGGGACTGGAGCTGCAGTCCCGGCGTGTGGGGACTGGAGCTGCAGTCCCGGCGTGTGGGGACTGGAGCTGCAGTCCCGGCGTGTGGGGACTGGAGCTGCAGTCCCGGCTTGTGGGGACTGGAGCTGCAGTCCCGGCGTGTGGAGACTGGAGCTGCAGTCCCGGCGTGTGGGGACTGGAGCTGCAGTCCCGGCTTGTGGGGACTGGAGCTGCAGTCCCGGCGTGTGGGGACTGGAGCTGCAGTCCCGGCGTGTGGGGACTGGAGCTGCAGTCCCGGCGTGTGGGGACTGGAGCTGCAGTCCCGGCGTGTGGGGACTGGAGCTGCAGTCCCGGCGTGTGGGGACTGGAGCTGCAGTCCCGGCGTGTGGGGACTGGAGCTGCAGTCCCGGCGTGTGGGGACTGGAGCTGCAGTCCCGGCGTGTGGGGACTGGAGCTGCAGTCCCGGCGTGTGGGGACTGGAGCTGCAGTCCCGGCGTGTGGGGACTGGAGCTGCAGTCCCGGCGTGTGGGACTGGAGCTGCAGTCCCGGCGTGTGGGGACTGGAGCTGCAGTCCCGGCGTGTGGGGACTGGAGCTGCAGTCCCGGCGTGTGGGGACTGGAGCTGCAGTCCCGGCTTGTGGGGACTGGAGCTGCAGTCCCGGCTTGTGGGGACTGGAGCTGCAGTCCCGGCGTGTGGGGACTGGAGCTGCAGTCCCAGCATGTGGGGACTGGAGCTGCAGTCCCGGCGTGTGGGGACTGGAGCTGCAGTCCCGGCGTGTGGGGACTGGAGCTGCAGTCCCGGCGTGTGGGGACTGGAGCTGCAGTCCCGGCGTGTGGGGGCTGGAGCTGCAGTCCCGGCGTGTGGGGGCTGGAGGTGCAGTCCCGGCGTGTGGGGGCTGGAGCTGCAGTCCCGGGGTGTTGGGGCTGGAGCTGCAGTCCCCGCGTGTGGGGACTTGAGCTGCAGTCCCGGCGTGTGGGGACTGGAGCTGCAGTCCCGGCGTGTGGGGACTGGATCTGCAGTCCCGGCGTGTGGGGACTGGAGCTGCAGTCCCGGCGTGTGGGGACTGGAGCTGCAGTCCCGGCGTGTGGGGACTGGAGCTGCAGTCCCGGCGTGTGGGGACTGGAGCTGCAGTCCCGGCGTGTGGGGACTGGAGCTGCAGTCCCGGCTTGTGGGGACTGGAGCTGCAGTCCCGGCGTGTGGGGACTGGAGCTGCAGTCCCGGCGTGTGGGGACTGGAGCTGCAGTCCCGGCGTGTGGGGACTGGAGCTGCAGTCCCGGCGTGTGGGGACTGGAGCTGCAGTCCCGGCGTGTGGGGACTGGAGCTGCAGTCCCGGCGTGTGGGACTGGAGCTGCAGTCCCGGCGTGTGGGGACTGGAGCTGCAGTCCCGGCTTGTGGGGACTGGAGCTGCAGTCCCGGCTTGTGGGGACTGGAGCTGCAGTCCCGGCTTGTGGGGACTGGTGCTGCAGTCCCGGCTTGTGGGGACTGGAGCAGCAGTCCCGGCTTGTGGGGACTGGAGCTGCAGTCCCGGCTTGTGGGGACTGGAGCTGCAGTCCCGGCGTGTGGGGACTGGAGCTGCAGTCCCGGCTTGTGGGGACTGGAGCTGCAGTCCCGGCTTGTGGGGACTGGAGCTGCAGTCCCGGCGTGTGGGGACTGGAGCTGCAGTCCCGGCGTGTGGGGACTGGAGCTGCAGTCCCGGCGTGTGGGGACTGGAGCTGCAGTCCCGGCGTGTGGGGACTGGAGCTGCAGTCCCGGCTTGTGGGGACTGGAGCTGCAGTCCCGGCTTGTGGGGACTGGAGCTGCAGTCCCGGCGTGTGGGGACTGGAGCTGCAGTCCCGGCGTGTGGGGACTGGAGCTGCAGTCCCGGCGTGTGGGGACTGGAGCTGCAGTCCCGCAAGTGGGGACTGGAGCTGCCGAGTGGGGACTGGAGCTGCAGTCCCGGCGTGTGGGGACTGGAGCTGCAGTCCCGGCTTGTGGGGACTGGAGCTGCAGTCCCGGCTTGTGGGGACTGGAGCTGCAGTCCCGGCTTGTGGGGACTGGAGCTGCAGTCCCGGCGTGTGGGGACTGGAGCTGCAGTCCCGGCGTGTGGGGACTGGAGCTGCAGTCCCAGCGTGTGGGGACTGGAGCTGCAGTCCCGGCGTGTGGGGACTGGAGCTGCAGTCCCGGCGTGTGGGGACTGGAGCTGCAGTCCCGGCGTGTGGGGACTGGAGCTGCAGTCCCGGCTTGTGGGGACTGGAGCTGCAGTCCCGGCTTGTGGGGACTGGAGCTGCAGTCCCGGCTTGTGGGGACTGGAGCTGCAGTCCCGGCGTGTGGGGGCTGGAGCTGCAGTCCCGGCTTGTGGGGACTGGAGCTGCAGTCCCGGCTTGTGGGGACTGGTGCTGCAGTCCCGGCGTGTGGGGGCTGGAGCTGCAGTCCCGGGGTGTTGGGGCTGGAGCTGCAGTCCCCGCGTGTGGGGACTTGAGCTGCAGTCCCGGCGTGTGGGGACTGGAGCTGCAGTCCCGGCGTGTGGGGACTGGATCTGCAGTCCCGGCGTGTGGGGACTGGAGCTGCAGTCCCGGCGTGTGGGGACTGGAGCTGCAGTCCCGGCGTGTGGGGACTGGAGCTGCAGTCCCGGCGTGTGGGGACTGGAGCTGCAGTCCCGGCGTGTGGGGACTGGAGCTGCAGTCCCGGCTTGTGGGGACTGGAGCTGCAGTCCCGGCGTGTGGGGACTGGAGCTGCAGTCCCGGCGTGTGGGGACTGGAGCTGCAGTCCCGGCGTGTGGGGACTGGAGCTGCAGTCCCGGCGTGTGGGGACTGGAGCTGCAGTCCCGGCGTGTGGGGACTGGAGCTGCAGTCCCGGCGTGTGGGACTGGAGCTGCAGTCCCGGCGTGTGGGGACTGGAGCTGCAGTCCCGGCTTGTGGGGACTGGAGCTGCAGTCCCGGCTTGTGGGGACTGGAGCTGCAGTCCCGGCTTGTGGGGACTGGTGCTGCAGTCCCGGCTTGTGGGGACTGGAGCTGCAGTCCCGGCTTGTGGGGACTGGAGCTGCAGTCCCGGCTTGTGGGGACTGGAGCTGCAGTCCCGGCGTGTGGGGACTGGAGCTGCAGTCCCGGCTTGTGGGGACTGGAGCTGCAGTCCCGGCTTGTGGGGACTGGAGCTGCAGTCCCGGCGTGTGGGGACTGGAGCTGCAGTCCCGGCGTGTGGGGACTGGAGCTGCAGTCCCGGCGTGTGGGGACTGGAGCTGCAGTCCCGGCGTGTGGGGACTGGAGCTGCAGTCCCGGCTTGTGGGGACTGGAGCTGCAGTCCCGGCTTGTGGGGACTGGAGCTGCAGTCCCGGCGTGTGGGGACTGGAGCTGCAGTCCCGGCGTGTGGGGACTGGAGCTGCAGTCCCGGCGTGTGGGGACTGGAGCTGCAGTCCCGCAAGTGGGGACTGGAGCTGCCGAGTGGGGACTGGAGCTGCAGTCCCGGCGTGTGGGGACTGGAGCTGCAGTCCCGGCTTGTGGGGACTGGAGCTGCAGTCCCGGCTTGTGGGGACTGGAGCTGCAGTCCCGGCTTGTGGGGACTGGAGCTGCAGTCCCGGCGTGTGGGGACTGGAGCTGCAGTCCCGGCGTGTGGGGACTGGAGCTGCAGTCCCAGCGTGTGGGGACTGGAGCTGCAGTCCCGGCGTGTGGGGACTGGAGCTGCAGTCCCGGCGTGTGGGGACTGGAGCTGCAGTCCCGGCGTGTGGGGACTGGAGCTGCAGTCCCGGCTTGTGGGGACTGGAGCTGCAGTCCCGGCTTGTGGGGACTGGAGCTGCAGTCCCGGCTTGTGGGGACTGGAGCTGCAGTCCCGGCGTGTGGGGGCTGGAGCTGCAGTCCCGGCTTGTGGGGACTGGAGCTGCAGTCCCGGCTTGTGGGGACTGGAGCTGCAGTCCCGGCTTGTGGGGACTGGAGCTGCAGTCCCGGCTTGTGGGGACTTGAGCTGCAGTCCCGGCTTGTGGGGACTGGAGCTGCAGTCCCGGCGTGTGGGGACTGGAGCTGCAGTCCCGGCATGTGGGGACTGGAGCTCCAGTCCCGGCGTGTGGGGACTGGAGCTGCAGTCCCGGCGTGTGGGGACTGGAGCTGCAGTCCCGGCGTGTGGGGACTGGAGCTGCAGTCCCGGCGTGTGGGGACTGGAGCTGCAGTCCCGGCTTGTGGGGACTGGAGCTGCAGTCCCGGCTTGTGGGGACTGGAGCTGCAGTCCCGGCTTGTGGGGACTGGAGCTGCAGTCCCGGCTTGTGGGGACTGGAGCTGCAGTCCCGGCTTGTGGGGACTGGTGCTGCAGTCCCGGCTTGTGGGGACTGGAGCTGCAGTCCCGGCGTGTGGGGACTGGAGCTGCAGTCCCGGCGTGTGGGGACTGGAGCTGCAGTCCCGGCGTGTGGGGACTGGAGCTGCAGTCCCGGCGTGTGGGGACTGGAGCTGCAGTCCCGGCGTGTGGGGACTGGAGCTGCAGTCCCGGCGTGTGGGGACTGGAGCTGCAGTCCCGGCTTGTGGGGACTGGAGCTGCAGTCCCGGCGTGTGGGGACTGGAGCTGCAGTCCCGGCGTGTGGGGACTGGAGCTGCAGTCCCGGCGTGTGGGGACTGGAGCTGCAGTCCCGGCGTGTGGGACTGGAGCTGCAGTCCCGGCGTGTGGGGACTGGAGCTGCAGTCCCGGCGTGTGGGGACTGGAGCTGCAGTCCCGGCGTGTGGGGACTGGAGCTGCAGTCCCGGCTTGTGGGGACTGGAGCTGGAGTCCCGGCTTGTGGGGACTGGAGCTGCAGTCCCGGCGTGTGGGGACTGGAGCTGCAGTCCCAGCATGTGGGGACTGGAGCTGCAGTCCCGGCGTGTGGGGACTGGAGCTGCAGTCCCGGCGTGTGGGGACTGGAGCTGCAGTCCCGGCGTGTGGGGACTGGAGCTGCAGTCCCGGCGTGTGGGGGCTGGAGCTGCAGTCCCGGCGTGTGGGGGCTGGAGGTGCAGTCCCGGCGTGTGGGGGCTGGAGCTGCAGTCCCGGGGTGTTGGGGCTGGAGCTGCAGTCCCCGCGTGTGGGGACTTGAGCTGCAGTCCCGGCGTGTGGGGACTGGAGCTGCAGTCCCGGCGTGTGGGGACTGGATCTGCAGTCCCGGCGTGTGGGGACTGGAGCTGCAGTCCCGGCGTGTGGGGACTGGAGCTGCAGTCCCGGCGTGTGGGGACTGGAGCTGCAGTCCCGGCGTGTGGGGACTGGAGCTGCAGTCCCGGCGTGTGGGGACTGGAGCTGCAGTCCCGGCTTGTGGGGACTGGAGCTGCAGTCCCGGCGTGTGGGGACTGGAGCTGCAGTCCCGGCGTGTGGGGACTGGAGCTGCAGTCCCGGCGTGTGGGGACTGGAGCTGCAGTCCCGGCATGTGGGGGCTGGAGCTGCAGTCCCGGCGTGTGGGGGCTGGAGGTGCAGTCCCGGCGTGTGGGGGCTGGAGCTGCAGTCCCGGGGTGTTGGGGCTGGAGCTGCAGTCCCCGCGTGTGGGGACTTGAGCTGCAGTCCCGGCGTGTGGGGACTGGAGCCGCAATCCCGGCGTGTGGGGACTGGAGCTGCAGTCCCGGCGTGTGGGGACTGGAGCTGCAGTCCCGGCGTGTGGGGACTGGAGCTGCAGTCCCGGCGTGTGGGGACTGGAGCTGCAGTCCCGGCGTGTGGGGACTGGAGCTCCAGTCCCGGCGTGTGGGGACTGGAGCTGCAGTCCCGGCGTGTGGGGACTGGAGCTGCAGTCCCGGCGTGTGGGGACTGGAGCTGCAGTCCCGGCGTGTGGGGACTGGAGCTGCAGTCCCGGCTTGTGGGGACTGGAGCTGCAGTCCCGGCTTGTGGGGACTGGAGCTGCAGTCCCGGCTTGTGGGAACTGGAGCTGCAGTCCCGGCTTGTGGGGACTGGAGCTGCAGTCCCGGCTTGTGGGGACTGGTGCTGCAGTCCCGGCTTGTGGGGACTGGAGCTGCAGTCCCGGCTTGTGGGGACTGGAGCTGCAGTCCCGGCTTGTGGGGACTGGAGCTGCAGTCCCGGCGTGTGGGGACTGGAGCTGCAGTCCCGGCGTGTGGGGACTGGAGCTGCAGTCCCGGCGTGTGGGGACTGGAGCTGCAGTCCCGCAAGTGGGGACTGGAGCTGCAGTCCCGCAAGTGGGGACTGGAGCTGCAGTCCCGGCGTGTGGGGACTGGAGCTGCAGTCCCGGCGTGTGGGGACTGGAGCTGCAGTCCCGGCTTGTGGGGACTGGAGCTGCAGTCCCGGCTTGTGGGGACTGGAGCTGCAGTCCCGGCTTGTGGGGACTGGAGCTGCAGTCCCGGCTTGTGGGGACTGGAGCTGCAGTCCCGGCTTGTGGGGACTGGAGCAGTCCCAGCTTGTGGGGACTGGAGCTGCAGTCCCGGCTTGTGGGTGGGGACTGGAGCTGCAGTCCCGGCTTGTGGGGACTGGAGCTGCAGTCCCGGCTTGTGGGGACTGGAGCTGCAGTCCAGGCTTGTGGGGACTGGAGCTGCAGTCCCGGCTTGTGGGGACTGGAGCTGCAGTCCCGGCGTGTGGGGACTGGAGCTGCAGTCCCGGCGTGTGGGGACTGGAGCTGCAGTCCCGGCGTGTGGGGACTGGAGCTGCAGTCCCGGCGTGTGGGGACTGGAGCTGCAGTCCCGGCGTGTGGGGACTGGAGCTGCAGTCCCGGCTTGTGGGGACTGGAGCTGCAGTCCCGGCTTGTGGGGACTGGAGCTGCAGTCCCGGCTTGTGGGGACTGGAGCAGTCCCAGCTTGTGGGGACTGGAGCTGCAGTCCCGGCTTGTGGGTGGGGACTGGAGCTGCAGTCCCGGCTTGTGGGGACTGGAGCTGCAGTCCCGGCTTGTGGGGACTGGAGCTGCAGTCCAGGCTTGTGGGGACTGGAGCTGCAGTCCCGGCTTGTGGGGACTGGAGCTGCAGTCCCGGCGTGTGGGGACTGGAGCTGCAGTCCCGGCGTGTGGGGACTGGAGCTGCAGTCCCGGCGTGTGGGGACTGGAGCTGCAGTCCCGGCGTGTGGGGACTGGAGCTGCAGTCCCGGCGTGTGGGGACTGGAGCTGCAGTCCCGGCTTGTGGGGACTGGAGCTGCAGTCCCGGCTTGTGGGGACTGGAGCTGCAGTCCCGGCTTGTGGGGACTGGAGCTGCAGTCCCGGCTTGTGGGGACTGGAGCTGCAGTCCCGGCTTGTGGGGACTGGAGCAGTCCCAGCTTGTGGGGACTGGAGCTGCAGTCCCGGCTTGTGGGTGGGGACTGGAGCTGCAGTCCCGGCTTGTGGGGACTGGAGCTGCAGTCCCGGCTTGTGGGGACTGGAGCTGCAGTCCAGGCTTGTGGGGACTGGAGCTGCAGTCCCGGCTTGTGGGGACTGGAGCTGCAGTCCCGTTGTGTGGGGACTGGAGCTGCAGTCCCGGCGTGTGGGGACTGGAGCTGCAGTCCCGGCGTGTGGGGACTGGAGCTGCAGTCCCGGCGTGTGGGGACTGGAGCTGCAGTCCCGGCTTGTGGGGACTGGAGCTGCAGTCCCGGCTTGTGGGGACTGGAGCTGCAGTCCCGGCTTGTGGGGACTGGAGCAGTCCCAGCTTGTGGGGACTGGAGCTGCAGTCCCGGCTTGTGGGTGGGGACTGGAGCTGCAGTCCCGGCTTGTGGGGACTGGAGCTGCAGTCCCGGCTTGTGGGGACTGGAGCTGCAGTCCAGGCTTGTGGGGACTGGAGCTGCAGTCCCGGCTTGTGGGGACTGGAGCTGCAGTCCCGGCGTGTGGGGACTGGAGCTGCAGTCCCGGCGTGTGGGGACTGGAGCTGCAGTCCCGGCGTGTGGGGACTGGAGCTGCAGTCCCGGCGTGTGGGGACTGGAGCTGCAGTCCCGGCGTGTGGGGACTGGAGCTGCAGTCCCGGCTTGTGGGGACTGGAGCTGCAGTCCCGGCTTGTGGGGACTGGAGCTGCAGTCCCGGCTTGTGGGGACTGGAGCTGCAGTCCCGGCTTGTGGGGACTGGAGCTGCAGTCCCGGCTTGTGGGGACTGGAGCAGTCCCAGCTTGTGGGGACTGGAGCTGCAGTCCCGGCTTGTGGGTGGGGACTGGAGCTGCAGTCCCGGCTTGTGGGGACTGGAGCTGCAGTCCCGGCTTGTGGGGACTGGAGCTGCAGTCCAGGCTTGTGGGGACTGGAGCTGCAGTCCCGGCTTGTGGGGACTGGAGCTGCAGTCCCGTTGTGTGGGGACTGGAGCTGCAGTCCCGGCGTGTGGGGACTGGAGCTGCAGTCCCGGCGTGTGGGGACTGGAGCTGCAGTCCCGGCGTGTGGGGACTGGAGCTGCAGTCCCGGCGTGTGGGGACTGGAGCTGCAGTCCCGGCGTGTGGGGACTGGAGCTGCAGTCCCGGCGTGTGGGGACTGGAGCTGGGAGATGAGATGTGGCCTTCCGAATGCAGACATGAAAGCTGGGACTGCCCTTGTGGCCCTGCCCTCACCCATGTGTGCATACAGACACGCCTCGAGGGCTTTCTCGTGTACACACTAAAACAAGGAACGCACCTTAAAGGCGGCGTCGTCCCGGTGCGTGCCCCTGCCCTCGCTCATGTGTGCGCGAGGGCACCACCCCCACTGCTCAAACGCCAGCTGCACTCGCACGCCCTCTGCTGCCACCGCCACCACTGTGCCTGTTACCAGCTTGCCCGCCTGCACGCCTGCCGGGGAGAGTGTTGTTTTCACGGCCATGCCCTGGTGTGGTGTGGGGGAGAGAGAGAGAGAGAAGGACAGAAGAAAGAATGGATGAAGGAGCAAGAGAAGCGTGACTTGGCGGCAAGCACAGCACACACGTGGCGAGTGCACTGTCAAATTCTGGAGATTTAAGAAGCTCCTATGGGCCGTCTCATGAATCTGATTCGCTTTTTTTTTATTCCAAGATATTTTGGGCCCCGCACACACACCTTGAGGGACGCGATGGCGAGTCCGTCGGAGGGGCAGAGGTGCAGCACGCGCGCACACACTTGCTTGCCCTCCGCCACATGCGCTGGGATGGCGGGTGCCCCAGATGCAGAGAGCTGGCGCAGCTGTGGCAAGGAGAATGGGGGGCACGAGAGCGCGGGGGAGGGGTAGGGGGAGGGGAGGGTCAGGGGTAGAGGCAGAGGGGGAGGCAGGTGAGGGGCAGGGTTGATTGCAGAGACAGACACAAAGTGCCGCGATGGTGTGTGCATGACAACCCACACTACGACACACATCCACCATACGACACATGCAATGCACATCACGAGCACAGCACTCCACTGCACCAGCTTCTCGGGCGCCCAAGCCTGCAATACCCAGCAGCAGCACTCACAGGAACAAGTGCATACGCCGCCTTGCCCAACTGCTTCTTCCTCTCCTTCCCCTGCTTCCCCTGCTCGGCCCCCTTCTCCTTCTTCTCCTTCTCCCCTCCCGCCAGTCGCAGCAGCACGCCCAGCCCAGGGTAAATGCGCTCCACAACAGCAGCGGGGAAGAGAGAGCCTGGAAGCACCTTGGTGGGGGGGGCGGAAGGGGACGCTTGCCACTGGAGTGGCGAGCAGGGGAACAGGTGGAACGGGGAGGAGGGAAGGGGAAGGAGGGGGATGCACAGAAATGAAAGACGGCATAAGAGAAAAAAGAGGTGGACCCACCCTCTGCAGGGTGGCTATGAGAATTCTCAAAGACTATGTCTCTGTGGTTTGAAGGTTGCTGCAAGGATAGGGAAGAACTCTCAAATACTTAAAGTGGACCTCCTTACTGGGTATTCCCAAAACATGGTTACAAGTTACATACATACAACAGCTCAATGGTGGAGGGAGGGGAGTGCGTGCAGTGCGTGCGGAAGAGTGTAGCGCAGCGCACCTCAATGGAGGGAGGGGTGGCGCGGAGGAGAGCTGAGCTGAGGGAGAGTGCTATGGTCGGCACCACCACACTGGGATCAGTGCCGTGTGCGCTGCTGCTGCTGCTTGCTGTTGCTGCCCCTGATGCAGCATGTGTACAGAAGAGCACACGCGCTTTGACCTGGTGGGGTAAACAGCATGCGATGTGCAGCAGGAGAGACAGGCGATGTGCATGCAGGCAATGGGCAGACGGAAAACGGCAACGCAAGGAGCATATGCAGATAGGAATTCAGAGCAGGAAGGAAGGCGTGGGCATGGAGGCATGGGGGCATGGAGGCACGGGAAGGGGTACAGTGCAGGTATCGCAGCAACAGGAAGTGCGATGGGCATAGATGAAGGTGTGGGAAGTGGGAAGTGGGAGGGGACGGAACGCACCATGGCACCAATGGGGAAGATGGCCAGGCACTGGTCCCGAGAGAGCAGCGGACGGGGCAGGTTCAAGGGATGCACCTGGTGGGCGGTGATGGGGTGAGAGGGGAGAGAGGAGGCCGGAGTGAGAGGTGAAGTTGATTGAAGGTAAGTAAGACAACGACACAGTACGTGAGGAAGCAGGCACCAGCAGCATGCACTAAAGCATGCATGCACTAAAGCACCCATGCACTCACTCACTCTCACTCACTCACTCTCACTCACGCACGCACTCACCCATACAGTGGAAGTGCACAGGCCCACAGCCATGGATCCATCCTGCAGCACGTGCAGCAGCTTTTTGAGGGACCTTTAAAACTCCACTTCACTCACCCACTCACCCACTTGCGCACTCACTCACGCACTCACCCAAGCAGTGGCAGTGGGCAGGCCCACAGCCATGGATCCATCCTGCAGCACGTGCAGCACCTTGCCCTGCACCAGCTGCCCCGGTAGCACCGCTGCACCCCCTTCCTCCTCGCCCTCCCCACCCTCCCCCTTTCCTGCTGTTGCTGCTCCTGGTGGTGGTGTTTGTGCTTGTGCGGCCTTGCTCTGAAAAGAGGATGGAGAGGTTGGGGAGTGGGCAGGCGTTAAGACGATATGTGAGCAAGCAATCCCCATTTTGCACATGCTCACACAAATGCACACACACATGCACACACACATGCACACACACATGCTCACACACATGCACACACACATGCACGCACGCACGCCCACACACACATGCACGCACACACATTTAGAAGCAATGCATGCGAGGCCCGAAAGAAGGAAGGTAGCAGTGCAATGGGCACTGACAGTGGCAGGGGTGGGTTCGAGTGAGACTGTGAGCGTCTTGTGTGCCTTGTCCCGCCCCTCCACCACCACCGGCACTGGCAGCAGCTGCCCCTTGCGGAACGTCACTCCAGGGACTGAAGGGCAAGCAGGGAGAGAGAGAAAACAGGGATCGCGAAACACGAGACGCAAGGAGGAGAGGGGGGGTGGGAGGAGGGTTCAAAGACATGGATGAGGCACGGGGGGTGTTATAGGCTGCTCCTGCTGGTGCTGGCAGGGACTGATGGGGTTGTAAGGAGGGAATTAAGTAAGCAAGGGGAAGAGGGCGCAGAAGGGGGACCAGGACAGACAGGGTTTCGGGTTTAAGGTGTGGCATGTTAGCGGCAAAAGAAGGACGAGAGACAGAGGTAAGGAGATGGAGGAGGAAGTGAAGTGAAGGGAAGGATTCGAATAAAAAAAATATGAGAAAAGGCGTGCGGCAAGAAGAAGGAGCAAAAAAAAAAGGGAGAACGAGGTGGGAGGAGCAGGATCAGGAAAGCATACATTGCTGAGTGAGTTGGGTGAAGGGCAGGAAGGCAGTGATGGTGCGCAGGCCGAAGGACAGGATGAGCCCATGCTCCTCCACACTCTCCACTGCCGCCCATAGCTCCTGATGCATGCATGCATGAATGCCCGCAGGATGATGCACGCACGCGCGCGCGCGCGCACACACACACACATGCATCCACACACACACACACATGCATCCACACACACGCACATGCATCCACACACACACATGACAGGGTGTGACATGGCGTGATGAGCCCTGCTGTGCAGAGGGAACAAGCTGCATGCTGCTAACAGCTTCAACCAGGGCTTCAAATCCCAGCTTCCTCCCCAATACTACCCCCACTCTACGCCACAACCTCCCTCCCTCACATACCCCGCTTCCTCCTCCCCATCCCGCCCCCTCCCCCTCCACGCCGGGCCTCCCCTACTGCGCACCGTGTGTGCAGGCACGCTCTTGAAGCGCACGACAGGGCCCTGCACGCGAGACAGACGCACCGACACCGCCACTTCTGCCAGCGCTGCTGCCACTCCCGCCCCCGCCGCAGCAGCACCGCCACCACTACCACCACCAGCACCAGCAGCGGCGGAAGCAGCAGCAGCAGGGGCGGGGAGTACAGTGCAGGGTACGAGCTGGCCCTGCGAGAATATGCGCGCCATCCACTCTGCTGCTCGCATGCGGGGAGTCTAGCGGCGGGGGGCGAAGCAGAGGAGAACGCGTAGGGTTCAGAGAGGGTTTTGGCAGGATATGGGAGGAAACAGGAGAGAGTGAAGAATGGAAAGCGGCGGAAGAAGGGGGAGGGGAGGGGGGAAGGGGGGGGAGGGTTGGAGGGTGTGGGAGAGGAGGAGGGAGGAAAGAAAAGACAGTTCCACAAGGAAAACTGCATACCTTCTGCTTGATGCTCTCGCCCCCTGCTCCTTCTTCCTCCCCCTCCTCCCCCTCCTCCTGCTCCTCCTCCCCTTCCTCCTTCATCTCCTCATCCTCCTGCCCCCAATCCACTGCTTCTCCCCTCTCCGCCTTCCCTAAACAACCCGATATCTGGTCAGATACTTCTGCCACGTCAGCGAATCCGAACACGCCATGTGGCAGGCTGATAAGAAGGCCGGACGGAGTGACCTCTGCAACACAGCCCCACAGCTGCATCCCTGGCGTGGCGTCCTGAGAGCCGTTGGATCACAAAATCAGGAGAAAAAACATAGCTTATGCAGGGTTTAGCCAGGAGTTCAAGGAAGGCGGATCAAACGATAAAGCGCCACGTAGGGGAACGCGCCGAGACACAAGTGTTGCAGGGTGTGTTGGTTCCTGGAGGATTTTTTTGTAGACCGTCCGTATCATGGGGTTAGAGTAAAGAATCAAGCTACTACTAATAAAGCCACACCTGAGCAGTGAAGCCCTTCACACTCGTCGCCATGCTCTCCTTATCTCCCAAACGCCTCTTAACCTCCTCCGCCTCCTTCTTCGCAGCTTCCTCGGCTCTCGCAAGGGCAATCTGCGCGCCGATGTCCTCCTCTTCTTCCACCCATTCCTCTAGCACGCTCACCCCCTGCTTCACCGCCCCACCCGCTCCCTTCTTCCGCTTATTCTTCTTCCCCTCCGCCGCCGCTTTCCCCTCTCCCCGCGCGTGGGCTTTTTTCGCCTCGTCGGATTTTTTCCCCGGCTCTCCATATCTCCCTGGCTTTTCTCTAGATACTTCCGTCTCTCCTGCTGCGATCTCCTCACGAGCCCGCTTTCGATCCTTCGCTCCTCCCTCTCCACGCTCAATCTTAGCTTTCCCCTTCTTATCCGGGGTTTCCTTGTTCTTTCCTTCATCACCCACAAAACCCTCGCCGCCTAAAACCCTGTCCCCGTCCGTCACGGCATGGCTAGCTTCTGCGGCCTTGCGGGGTTTTGCAGGCCGGGGTGTGGGAACCTTCGCGGGAGACTTTGCGAGAGGTTTTGCAAGAGGTGCTTTTCCTGCGAGTGTTCATTGAGGGGATGCGTGGAAGAAGTGGGGGGAAGTGGAGAAACAGGTTCTAAACCACTGGCGTTCACTAGTAGCTAATGCCGATCGAGAAGAAAACATGGAATTTGAAACGCCTATTTGAAGAGCAAGCCATTTTGATGCAGGGAGTTGATAGACGGACGTCTGTGAAAGCATGGCTGCAGGGAATCGAGACACGGACCTCTGGGAAAGCACTCGTCATCGTCATCGAGCGTGCGCCCCATTGTAACGGGCCGAGAATCTACTAGACTGACCAAGACGAAGGTAGCGGATAGTCAAGGAAAGAGTAATAAATTGAAGACGCAGAGCTGACAGGAAGGAAAGCGGGAAACAGGAGCAGTGAACTGGGTTGATGATAGTGGGGGGAGGGAAGCTTGAGGCCTCCAAGCACAAGGCATCTTCGCCAGCGTGTGCTTCACAAAAGGTTGCACTCACCCAATATTACTGCTAGGACGGTACATGTGAATTCCAATTACTGCCTTTTTTACACATGAATCATAAGAATCAGAAAATCGGATTTTCGTATACTTCTGGATATTTCCATAAAAAATAAATGTTGTATTAATGGTCGTATGGTTTGTTCAAATCCCTGATATTGGGTGGCACAAAGTAGGCTGATATTTCTCACATTGACTTAAACAGTGTAATGTGATATGGTGTTACGAGTGCAATTGAGTGAGCGAGCGGGAATTGCACTATCGAAGCAAGAGTACAATGAGCGAAGGCATGAGCGAAGAATATATATCGAAACTACAGTGGTAACGGTAATGGACTGTGGTTGTCGCGTGACGGGCCTGGGACTGAGGTTGGGAAAAGTGTCGAAGCGGAGGCCCGGAGCGCGGGTTACCCGCCGAGCCATGAGGTCGGGGTGCGACGTGCGAAGGTGGCGGGAGGATTGTCGATGCGAGAGTTGCGAGTGGTAACGGTGCTGACTGTGGTGCTACAGTGGTGTACGCGCTGAGCGGGGACGCGAAGTAAGGAAAAGGAATTTTCCTTACACTACCCCCCCCCCCCCCTAAGGAGGTCCTCCTTACGATTGTGCGTGTACATCCCTGAAGTTTCGGCTGCGCAGATACTCGGTGAGGACGGGGTGGTTTTCGATTCTGTCCAGGGGAACCCAGTTGTCTTCGGTGGGTGTACGGTCTTTCCAGCGGATCAGGAACTCGATCCTTCGGGCTCCTCGAGGGTCGCGAACTCTGTGACTCAGAATCTTCTCGGGGGTGATGATTGGTTCAGTTGGCGGTCGTGTCATGCTGGCTGGGCGATTGCGTGGGAGTTGGCTTGTGGACGGGACGTAGGGGCGAAGCAGGCTGACGTGGAACGAGGGGCTGACGTACCAGTCAGCGGGGAGGAGGAGGTGGGCGGTGACGGGTGTTATCATGTGGCTGATGCGAAATGGTTCACAGTATTGGGGGCGGAGTTTCGGGGTGATGGGCAGGCGGAGGTTCTGGGTGTCAAGTAAAACTAGGTCGTCGGGCTGGTAAGTGACAGGTCTGCGGTGGCAGTCGGCGTTGCGTTTAGCGACGATGTTCGATTTTTTTATTGCGTCTGCTGCCCGGGTCCGTGCTGCTTGTAATATTTCAGCAAACTTTTGTGCTCGTGGCACCGGGTTGTCGGGGTTCGGGGTCATGGGTACTGTTGGGTCTTGTCCGTAGTTTAGGTAAAATGGTGACTGTTGGGTCGTGGCGGACGGTGAATTGTTGTATGCGAATTCGATGAGTGGCAGTTGCTGTTCCCAGGTGGTCGGGTCGTCGCATGTGGCTCGGATGAGCTGTTCCATGGTCTGATTTGTCCGTTCTGTCTGTCCGTCGGTTTCGGGGTGGTACGAAGAGCTGAACTGTAGTCGCGTGCCAAACTGCTGCCACAGGTTCCGCCAGAAGTTGCTGGTGAATTTCGTGTCTCGGTCGCTGATGATCGCTGCTGGTATCCCGTGCAGGCGTACGACGGTGGCGATGAAGAGGCGTGCTGTTTCTTCGGCTGTGATTGATTTTTTGCGGGCTGCGAAATGTGCCATTTTCGTCAGTCGATCGATGACGACCAGGATCGCGTCGTTCCCACTCGCTCCGGCCGGTAACCCCGTGACGAAGTCCATCGTCACATGCTGCCAAGCACGCTCGGGGGGTGGAATCGGCTGCAACTGTCCTGCCGACCGCTGCCGTGATGACTTCATGAGCTGGCAAGTGGGACACGATGCCACGTGTCGCTGTACGTCGGTCAACATTTCGGGCCAGTAATAATACCGCTGCAGCTGCTGCCGTGTTTTCTCTACCCCGAAATGTCCCGAGGTAACTCCGTCGTGTGCCTCCTGTAATAGTAATTCCCGTAGCAGTGTATACCCAGGCACCCAGATGCGGTCGGTCCCGGCTTTTACGTAATAGACTCCCCTTGCTGCTGCGAACTGCTGCGAATTTCCTCCTGTGAAGAATGGATCTATTTGGTACCCGTGGGTAAATAGGCCTGTTAGTAGGGGGCTGTGTCAAACATTATATATGTTGTGCTTGTTTAGGCTACAGTGGGTTAGTCTATAGGGGGTACACAATTCTAGGGTTAGGTACTTGTACTCATTTCACTGTTAATTCAATCATTCCTGTTTGTTCATCTCAACATGGTATAGAGCAGGTCCTTCGCTAGGACCGTTTTTAGGGCCCACCACTACCTACCTACCTACCTACCTACTACGCCCTAGGGCGCCTCGTGCTTCACGGCCCACTAAGGCCCCGCGACCCGCCCCTTAGCGACCTACGCGCCGCCCCTTAAGGCCCCGTCGGCCCCGCGATCGCCCCTAACGGCCCCGTCGGCCTCGCGCTCACCTCCCTAGAGGCCCCCCGTCGGCCCCGCGCTCGCCCTTAGCGGCCCCTTACGGCCTCGCGCTCGCCCCTACAAGCCCCGAACGGCCCCGCGCTCGCCTTTAGCGGCCCCTTACGGCCCCGCGCTCGCCCCTAGAGGCCTCGAACGGCCCCGCGCTCGCCCCTAGAGGCCCTGAACGGCCCCGCCAGAACGAGCCGCACGAACCGAGCCGCCCAGCCCGAACCGAGCCGCCCAGCCCGAACCGAGCCGCCCAGCCCGAACCGAGCCGCGCCGCCCGAACCGAGCCGCGCCGCCCTACCTGAACCGAGCCGCGCCGCCCGTACTGGACGGAGCCGCCCTACCTGAGTCGCACTGCCTACTGTTTCTGGGGTGCACCTACTGCTATTACTGCTATTCTACTGTTACTCCTACTACTGCTATGGCTAGCCCTCCTGTGCTAGCTTTCGATACTGAGGGCCGCCCAGTGAGGTTCGAAACCTGGCTAGATGACCTACACCTCTTCCTACAGCTCACTGCCAAGGAGGACATCTCACTGTACGATCACGCCCTAGGCCATGCTACTGCTCCTGCTGCTACTGCTGACAGCACCACCCGCTCACAGTGGCAGACTCGTGACGCCCACGCTCGCTTCGCTATTCGCAACTCCCTGCCGATAGATGAGCGCGAGCACTTTGGGCAGCACAAGACTGCACAGGCACTGTACACTGCTGTCGTTGCCCGCTACTCCTCACCGGCCTCTGCCGCACTAGGCCGTCTCTCTCTTCCCTACCTGTTCCCCGACTTAGCCTCTTTCCACACAGTCGCTGACCTCATTACGCACCTCCGCACTAGTGAAGCTCGCTTCCGCGCCGCCATGCCTGATGAGTTCCTTGCCAAGAACCCACCCCCGCTCTGGCTCACTCTCTACCACCTAGTCACCCGCCTCCCTGACACTCTGCGCTCAGTCAGGGACCACTTCCTAGCTCGCTGCCCCACTGAGCTCACCATTGCCCTCCTCGAGAAGGAACTCCTTGCAGCTGAGGCTAGCATAGTCGCTGTAGGTGCCTCTCGTGGCGACCCCCGTACCCCGTTCTTTGAGGGGTGTTCTCCTTCCCCCCTTCTTCCCTCTGTCGCCTCTGCTGCTGCTGTCGACCTCCTTGGTGCTGAGAAGGTCGTGACTGCGTCTGCTTTGAGCGGGCGCCGCAGCGGCAAGGGCAAAGGGGGCAAGGGCGGTGGCGGTGACAGCGGGGGAGGCGGTGGTGGGGGCGGTGGCGGTGGTGGGGGTGGTGGCGCGACTGGAGGGGCTAGTGGCAGCGGTGGGGGTGGTGGCGGCAGCGGCGGGGGAGGTGGCAGGGGCGGAGGCGGTGGTGGGGGTGGCAGTGGACGCGGCGGCGGCAGGGGTTGGGGTGGTCGAGGAGGTGGCAGCGGCGGTGGTGGTCGTGGAGGCGCTGGCGGTGGCCAGGGCCAGCAGCACACTCCGTCGCCCCAGGAGGTCCGTGAGTGGTACTCTCAGCACGGGGGGGGGGGGGGTGGCTTTAGCTGCACGTACGTCATTCGCACTGGTGACCGCACTGGTCAGCCGTGTGGGGGACCGCACGCCACACAGCGCTGCTTCGCTCGTCTCAACGACGCTTGGCGTGTTCAGTTCCCTCAGGCCACTGAGCTGCCCCGCTGGGTTGATCTCCTGAAGAAGGGGATTGATATCTATGCTCTAGACTTTGATGCTATTCTAACTGCTATGTATGTGATGTCTACTAGTGGAGAGGGTGCTGAGTACCTGTGTGTGCCGCCCGACCCGGGCATTAGGACTAGTGCGTCTGCCGCTCCAGGTACTCACGTGTCTACTACCCCAGGTGCTGGTGAGGCAGCTGCTCTAGGTGCTTGTACGTCCGCCCCCCCTGGTACTGAGTCGACTGCAGCACTGCACACCTTCACGCTGGACTCAGGTGCTTCTCGCTGCTTCTTTCGTGACCGCACTGCCCTTGAGCCGCTTACTCGGCCAGTTGCTGTCTCCCTCGCTGACCCCTCTGGGGGTCCGGTCATTGCGACCTCCTCCACTGTCCTTCCCTGTCCTGCGGTCCCGTCGGGCACACTATCAGGTCTCCACCTCCCCTCGTTCTCTACGAACTTGGTGGCAGGTTGTGCACTCCAGGACGGGGGTGTTCACCAGTTCACCCCTGCCTACGAGCGCGTGACACACTGCACGTGTGCTCGTACGGGCCGCCACTTGGCTACCTTCACACGGCAGCCGGGGTCGGACCTGTACACACTGACCACTGAGTCCCCTCAGGTCGCTGCGTCTGCGTCTGCGTCCGCGTCAGGTCAGCTCTCTGCCCCCTGCTCGTGTCGCTCTCTGGCGCACGAGACTGTCCTCTGGCACCACCGACTTGGTCACCCGTCTGTGCAGCGCCTTCGTGCCATGCACTCCCGGTACCTT